TCGGATATCGGCTGGCGCGTTTCTGCCGGAGTTACCCGACGCGACAAGCTTTTTCCGCCAACAGATGGATACACAAGTACTGTACTATGATGGTACCCTGCTTTATAAAATTTGGGAAAATCTGCATCCTGTAGCTTACCACATTCACGCTTCGCGGGCGGTTTTGCATGAGACGATGTGTACACACCTTAGCTATATATTTGTATTTTTATAATATTTTATTGAGGTTTTTCAAGAGCAGCGGATCCTTTCCGGTGCACAAAGTAAGTGCACCACTTTTTATAAATTTCGTCACACCAGTGTCACACCAGATGCCGTCGAGCCGTGCCTTCGCCGAGAAGCCGAGCCGTCTCTCCAAAGTCAACCTCAAGTGTCTGAGATCAGGCGGAGCGACAATTTCATCACGCCTTGCTCGTTCATTGTAACGCTCCACTAATGTTCCTTCCCTGTACATGTACATAGCACCTTTTAAACCAAATATGTTGACCAGTCATGTCTGGTGTAAGTACAAAAGTCTATGAATGCGGTCGCCAGAATATTTGGTGAGCGAGATCTGGTTGGATCTAGCCATCAGTAGCATTTTTCGGCCAGTTTTGGACCACTTCCGAGCATCCACAAAAACATCATATCGTCCCTTGCTGTATATCTGCCATAATATGGGTATCATATTATAGTATGAATACAAGTCTATCATAAAAAATATTCACAGCACCTCCGGGGGCATATTGCAGCAGCAAGATCGATTTTATAAAGCAAGGAGCCTTTATAAACCAGGGGGCCATCATAGTATAGTGGAAGGAAAGCCGGGCAAAGCTTTAAATTGCCCCTCCCAGGTCGATCAAGGATTTCCCATAGTTGGCGGCTCTATAGCAAGCAGGGGAGAGAGGGTGTAAGTCATTGTCAGCAGACACAAACAGCACGGCAGAAGCTGTGATATCTGTCAGGTCGCATGCCCATAGGTCTAAGTGGGGTGGAGCATCAACATGGAAACATCCTACAGCGGAACAATCAGAGCCACGGAAGCCATGGCAAGCCAAGTCACAGTGAGAGCCTTGATAATGGACGTGTCCAGTGAAGAGCTGAATATTCGGAGAGAGCACGACAGTTTATAGTCATGGGCGTCCGCCATTGAACGCCCGAGTGTGGATCCCGAAGAGAGCCCAGACACGAGAAAACTGGTTTCCACATGGCTTACGGAAGGCGCAGAAACTGAGCACAGTCGAAGGGCAGCCTTGACAGTGAACGGCGACGTTATTATGCCAAGGAATACCGACTAATGAAGACAGAGAGGTGCGATGGACAAGGTCAGTGTATGTAAGTTACGCAGGAGCAAGTCCACGCCGACGAAGAATCCGCAGAGCGCCGAATAGATCGAACAGAAAGCACAGAAACTAGAGCGCTCAGGCCGAACAGATAGCAGAGAAACCGGCGAGAGCACAACCTCCCACATTTTGGGCGTATAAAAATTTGAGACCTCGAATAGGCTACCAGACACCTCAAGATTCGAGTTGAACGAGGAGTGGTCGGAAAGGATGGGCGCCTGATTAAAGGGCCAAGCTGTAAAAGTCCAGTAGTGCATGTTGGATAGTCATGCACACATACGTCGTAAATTTGCCCCAAGACGACAACGTAGTCATGTTGTAGGAAATACTGAGGTGGCGCGATTCACTGCTGGGCGAGCTGCTGCCTCGTCATCAGCGATCTCCCACTGGCAGATGGCGTTATCAATTAGCAAAGGAGGACACCGAGGGACCTAACTGAGTATTGCCTCACCAATGTCAACGAAAAACATCTTCTCGATGTTTGAGGAGTGTCTGAGAGACGTGAGCCTCGAAAGAGAGTCCAGCCTGTGCGAAGCCAGTAGATCGCTTGGAAAACCTGCGCGATCTGACGGCAATTTACACTCGGGATATGCCGCGCCACAAGGATGAGCGCCTATAGAGTCCCAGCTCTTACGCCGTAACGACGCAAACGACGCATTCTGGGGATTGAGCCACCTGTACTTTTACTTTCGCCAGACCACCTTTAATTGTCTTGGCAGTGTGCACATAATTGGCGATGAACTTTCTGGATACGTATGATATCCCCGAGCCAGCGACAACGCCCGGAACGGGAACATCTGGCCCGGAGCCCACGTTGAACGAGGAGGTGTCGCAGGTCGTTGGTCAGTTGGGGCGGCTATGGGGTGGCTTCAGGAAGCAGGTGAGTGCAATGCCTCTGTACTGCGACTCTAACCAGCTGAACAATCTCTTATGCTTGACCCCACCTGTAGAGCCAAAGTGTCTTCGAAACTGCACGCAAAGAGGTCGGCCAAGTGGTCTCGCAAGCGCAAAAGGAGCTCACAAAGCTCAACATAGAGCCAAAACCGCAGGAACAAAGTGAACCCCCTGTCTCCGAGAAACCTACAGAAGAAACAGCTCCGGAAGCCGGGCTGTCGTCCAGCGGATTAGAGCCAGCAGACAACGACGATCCTGTCACCCCCACTGCTCCGCATCATCGTGGCACCTCCGTCTCCCTCGCCGCCTCGAACCTCTTCTCCAAGCTCCAGGCCACACTTCCATCAGACATTGCATCCACTGTCCAGGCCAGGCTTCCCGACGCGATAACACAGGGTGCGGGGTCGGTTGACTTTACGCAGCTGCGCACGACGCTCGCGACGGAGTTTCAACGCGTGCAGGGGATCACGCGCGCACAGGCCGAAGAGTACGTGCACAAAAGCGAAGAGCTGCTACGCGATGCCAGCGAGTTCCTGAAGGAGGCAGTGAAGGTCGTCCCGCCAGAGGAGAGCGGGGAAGTATCGGCGGGCGTTATGTGGGATGGCTCGGACATCTGGATGCTCCCTGAGAAGACGCCCACACCCGATGCCAAGGGCAAGAGAAAGGAGAAGCAAAGCAGTGCAGAGGGACTTAGGGCTGTCGCGACGCGGGCTGAGGCGCTACTCAAGCAGCTCAAACACGATCCCGCAGTCCTGAGCGTGAACCCCGAAGCTGACGAGCGTGCGAAGCAGATGTGGGACGAGTGGCTGAGGACTGAGGTCGACAACGAAGAAGCGGGTCTGGAACGCGAGCAATGGAAGAAGGCCAAGGAGGATGCGCTCGGCGACCCTGCTGATGGGGAGGCCCTTCGGAGCACTAAGGACACCCTTGGTATGTCGCACATCACGCTTCCTCGACGTGTCCTTATTGCAGTTTTCAGTGCCCTCCGTCCTATCTGAAGAAATCTTCTGGAAGCGCTACTTCTTCCGGGTACATCAGCTGTCCCGGGAAGAGCAAAGGAGGAAGGCTTTCTTGCAAGGTATGTTATCGTGCTCCACTACGTATGCATCTCCTGACTCGTTGCTCTCGCATAGGCACAAATGAGAATGAGGAAGACATTGAGTGGGAGAGTGATGACGAGGACACCACTCCCGCAGAGCCATCGGCCAACGAAAGTACAAAGCCTGCGGAGCCGAAGAACGAGGATAAGCCAGTGCAGGCTGTGAAAGCTTCTTCGACCTCGACACCAGCAACAACAAGTCCCAGGCGCTCAGAAAGCGAGGATGGTAGCTATGATGTCGTGTCGTCTCAGGTCAGCAACAACGGCGAAGCAAAGGAAGAAGAACCAATCAAGGAGGCCGCGAAGGAGAAGAAGAAGAAAGATGACGATGATGAGGACAGCGACTGGGAGTGATTGCGTGCTCGCTTTGGTCTGCGTCTCCCCTGGCTCTGGATGTGCCCTCGTAGTCTGTACCCGACATGTATCTCTGTGTCCATTCTATGTTTGTTCTATAAAATTAATATGGGGCTGTGTACTATGCCGAGTTTCCAGGCTCTGGGCTTCTGATAGACGTCGGGATGGCGCTGATGCGCTGATGCACCCATGAAGCGCTTTCACGAAAATGAAATGGATAGCTGTGCCCGATCTTGGCCACCTTCACGGAAACAAAACAAGAGTTGTGTTGCTCAGACTTATGCACTCGCGCAGCGCAAGGGACAAGCACAAGCGACGGCTTCGGGAGAATAAATGCTCGGCCGGGGGAATTAGGCCTCGTGGGTACACGCCTGTCCACGCCGGACACTATCGCTTTGTTCGTTGACGGGTCCAATGATCCCTGCGTGCTGGTCATCGCCTCCCTCTCTCACAGGCCAACCATGCGACCGCTAACGCAGAGACACACACTCGCGTTGCTGCGCACGGACATTTCATGCCTGACCTGGCTGCGGGCCCTGTGGTTCTTCGGGGTGCTCTGGTGCGAGGTTGGGGTCTATCGCTTCGTAGTGTTCCGATGTGCATGGCCTGATCGACGACTAAGTCCGGTGAGCGCATTGAATTCTCAGCTGCTTCATAGCTGACCTTGGTGCTTCCAGTCTACAGTGGCACCGACACATGTCTTGATCTTGGCAGACCCTCAGGTTCGACATGTGGGATCGCGCAGACACAGCTGTTTCTTCCCGAGGCTCCACGACTGGTTCTATCACGCCAGTCTCAGAAAGAATTGGCGATACGTGATTCGCCTGAATCCGGATGCTGTGGTCTTCCTCGGAGACATGCTGGCGTCAGGGCGTAAGCTCAGGGACGACGACGAGTGAGTCGAGCTCTATATGAACCACTCCAGGACACCTCTGATCGCATTGCAGGTTTGTGGAAAACTACCTCAGATTCAGGCGCATCTTCTCAGTGGACAAGAGCGTGCCTATTTTTCACGTGCCTGGGAATGAAGACGTTGGGTAGGAAGGCCCCTTTGAGAAGAATGCTGCGTCAACAGCTGACATTACCACAGATTGAACCTAATAGAGGCAGATGCTAGGGCCGCTCAACGCCGATACACTACCCATTTCGATCCTCTAAACGGCGAGGCGTTGATCGCAAATCACTCTTTCGTCTTCATAAATGCGCCGGGCCTCGTCGAGGAAGACTATCATCGTGCGCGTCATGTCGGCTCGAAAGAGTATAGCGACTATACTGCGGAGGAGGGCGGCACCGTAGAGTTTGTTCGTGAGCTTGCGCGCAAAAGAGAAGGGCAGGATGAGCCACCCACTGTCCTGTTCACGCACATCCCTCTATCACGCCCCGACGGGGCATCATGTGGGCCCCTGCGAGAACAGGGAACTATGCGGCGAGGCGCGGGACCTGGTTATCAGAACATGCACGGCAAGCGCACGTCGGAGTTCCTGCTTGACACCCTGAGACCTGAGCTTGTGTTCAGGTGCGTCCTCTGTTTGATAGATAACTCCTCCGAGATTAATGACGGACGTGCCCAGCGGCGACGATCGCGACTACTGCGACTATACGCACTTGCTTCCTGGGCCAGACTCCACTGTCCCTGTTCGCGAAGTGACCGTCAAGTCTTTCTCGCCAGATAAGACCATTCGCACTCCAGGGTTTCATCTGCTATCTCTCATCCCGCCTCACGCCACTCCACCCGGAAATTCGTTGGAGGCCACACTGGCGGATTCGCCATGCTTCCTTCCCTCACAAAGCCGGATACACAACGCGATCTACTTCCCGTTCGCTATCCTCATGCTCTTGTTCCTTATCGCCCGACGCGTTCGCAAGCGTCGCGAGCGATATCATCTTTCCCCACTGCCATCTTATGACTTTAACGAGCGCGTTCTGACTGGTTCGGCGTTGCACTACAAGGTCGACAAGGAAAAGGTCGACAAGCGGTCGTGGCGGAAGCCCTCGGTGGCGAGCTCGGTGCCGGTGTCGGCGTCATCATTCGGTGGAGGCTCACACTTCCCCCGCCGCTTCACCAGGCGCATCACAGGTTGCTTTGCGAGCAACGGGGCTGCCGCCAGCGGGCCACTCAACCTGTCTGCGAACCAAGCTAGGCTGTGTCGGGCATCCTGGAAAGTCGTGTGTCTGTCCGTCCTGGACTTTGTGAAGGTTCTGCTGCCTTCTCTTCTCCTCTGGAGTATTGTGATGTGGTCCATGCTCCATTAAAAGCACGTATATAGGAGGAAACGGACTACGTTCGTGGATTCTGATACAAGAGACTCTGGATTAAGCATAAGATTTACCAAGAAATGGACTATCTACAAAGCACTAGATTACTATTAGCAGAGCAACGATCGGGACTCTGTAGGCTGCGATATATGGGCACTATGGCAATGGATATGGCCATAATCGGAGTGGCACAAGTAGTGTTCGAGCGAATGTTTACGCAGTGAACTCGTCTAAGGTGCGATGGCCGTCGGTTCCAGCGTCTTGAGAAGCCTGGCCCTCGCGAAGGCCGAATAGTTGGACAATCTCTGTTGCAAAGGGTGTTAAGATTGATGCAAGTAAGTCATGGATGCACTCACCCTGAAGCCTGGCTTCCTTCTTCTGTCTCTGTGTCTCTTTGCTTTTGATACCGGAGAACGCCTGTTGAATAAGTTTCTTTTTCTTCTCTTGGATATCCAGAACCTGGAAAACGAACGATGAGCATCCGCATCAGCTATGCCAATTGGAGGTAGCCTACTTTGGACTCGACCGTATCCTCAGCAATCAGCTGGTAAACATGAACTGGCTTCGTCTGACCGATTCTGAAGGCAGAAGTCAGAAGAGACTCAGACGGAAGGAACTTTGGATATACCTGTTACAACGGTCGATGGCTTGAGACTCGATTCCTTCTTGCCACCATGGATCCATTCTATGTCCAGAGTCAGCTTCTATCATCAGAAACGAGTGCGTCATCACTCACAGGTAGACGTTATTCGCCACGGTCAAATTGAGACCAAGCGCACCCGCCTTTAACGAGATCAACATGATCTTGGGGTTCGCGCCGTCCGGAAGAGCAAAGTGGTAATTAGACTTGGGCGTAGAAGCTTTGCGCTTGCCGTTAGCTTTGCCTTTCCCTTTGCCCTTCCCTTTCTTCTTGGGCCGCTCGTCCTCGAAATCGTCGATGAAGCTGTCGTCATCTGACTCATCAGCAGGCGCGACGAAGTCTGCGTCTCCATCACTATCTGCGGTTAAATCAAGAACGTCCGAGGAGACATTGCGACTGCTCTTGCGGCGGACACGAGTAGAACGGGAAGCTTGAGAAGCAGTCGGGGCCTGTGTCAGGGCGAGAGCAGGGGACCCGTCCTCTGCGATGGGAACAGAGAAACGCGCGATAGTCTCTTGGCGCCTTTTCGCTGACATGCCTCCGTCGAAACGGACATAAGCTATACTGAGAACGATGTGAGCTACTGACATCCTGTTCACAGCGAGGATACATATGACTTACCCAGCCTCGTCCAGCTTCTCAGCGATCTGTACGCACAGTCAGCTCTGTCTTGTATGCCGAAACTGTGTTGCACACCTTGTCCAGAAAAGAGGTGAACTGTGAGAAGACTAGTGACTTCTCCGTGCCCGGGGTCAACTTCAGGAGGTGTATCAACTGCTCGATTTTAGCTGAAGATCCAACACGGAGATTATCGGGGTCCTCTTTCTCTCGCCGCACAGGGGCTTGAGTGAATGCTGTCGGCGGAGGTGGCTCGATGAGGTCACCCATGGTGATCGGACGGCGGTCCATGGGACATTTCGGATCTCTCGAGATGACTTCGGTTATGCTTGGACAACACTCTGAGCCGAAGCCTGTCAGTTAGGCGAGAAGACTCACCATGCCAAGCAGAATACATGCGAGCAGCTGGTAATCCGAGGCTCGTCGACGATACCAAAGCAGACCGGACACTCTTCATTATCCTCAATCGCTTGTGCAAGCAGTCCTTGAAGTCGAACTTTGTCCTCCTGAGTCAGGTGAATCGCGGGCGCAGGGTTGTCATCGTTCTCAGCAGCATTGCGCAGATGCTCCAGGTAGTTGGGAGGCAGAAGTCCAGGATGCAAAGCGAGTTGTCGCAAGCGTGTGAGCATGCTGAGGACGTTCGAGGTGACCTGAATGATATGAGACTCGACATAACGGATATGCTGCTGTATTGCCCACCGCTGCGTTTCCAAGGCCTCCGTGGCGCTCGATAAGCTTACCTACACGTTCCTTCGAAACTATGTCGATGGCATCGTACAACTCGCGAGCTTCGTCAGTGAGTGAGACTTTGACAACAGTGATATCGACCTAATGACACGAATGGGCGCGATTTAACGATCTGAACAGGTGCCATCTGACGTGACGCACCGGAGGTAATGGCACTAGATGATTGCCCTCACTGTCTTGCATCTCCTTTGTACGGCGAATGCAGATCTGGCTCATCAAGCCCTTCATGATATCTACACCAGAAGGATCTCCGTCCTTGAGAGGACGCAAAACCATACGCTTGTAGAAATCTTCGTTGTCAAGCGGCTTACAAATCTGCAAGAATTTGAGGATAGAACCAAAGTCCTAGCAAAGCATGTAAGGCGACATGTCTAGTGAAGCGGCAATTTAAGCCTTACTGCAGGCGAGTTTATCTACGCTCAAGTATAAGCTGAGACATAGTGCACAACATGGGAAGCGTACATACAATCGGGGTGCCGGTAAGGACCCATCTCCGCTGGGCAGCAAGAGCACAGACAGCCTTCGTCATCTTCGTCTTCGAGTTCCGAATGGTGTGCCCTTCGTCGAGAATAGCCCTCTGTGATCGTAATGCGACGGTGAACAGAGTCATAAACATGTCGCGAAACGTATACCTTCCACTGCACGTCGAAGAGACCCTTCTCTGTCTTCTGCTTCTTCTGGCTAGGCCCATTAGCGCCGTTCTTGCCAAGATCACCGTGTTCTTTCGCAACCGTCTGATACGTTGTGAGCACAATATCGTACTTCTTTAGTTCCTCAGGCGTCATTTTTCGTCCGGTGCCATAGTAGACACAATACGACAGCGCGCCTTCCCTAACGTGGTCTTCAATCTGCTTTTCCCAGTTCGAGAGTACGGAGAGCGGCACAACTACGTATTCAAGTCAGCGTGGTATCAGAGTATACACAAGGATAAAACGTACCTATGAGAGTTGTCCTCGAGTAGTCGATTGGGATATCGAGCTTCGTGGATAGGATGAGCGCGAGCATCGTAAGTGTCTTGCCCTGGAAGAGAATAGTCGCACTGAGAAAAACGCCAAGTTCATATTATGGGGAACATACAAGACCCATGCTATCTGCACAAAGTGCACCTCTACCCAACTCCGGAGGTTGAGTCTGAGGGGTCTTCGTTGCTACTGGAAGTCAAATTGAATGTCAACACTCGTGCAGCAGATATCAACTGCGCGCGCTCACAATTGAAGTAGAAAGGCTAGCACAATCTATCTTCAGTTACATATTGATGGCTGCAGAAATAGTCGAACCCACTTTGACACCAATCTTTCTATATTGCCAGAATTGAACAGGCTTATCCTGTTCCTTCTTCGGAAGCTCGGGATACTCGCGCTCAACGCACCACTGCAACGCTTGGCTCTGCTCTCAAGATCAGCATACGTTAATAAGTATTAACGCTCGGGAGACTGACCTGATGCTTTAACAAGTTTACCTTCAAATCGCCTGTAGCAAGCCCAGGAGGATTCAGGTGCTCTGGGAGTTTGAGCACATCCTCTGTCGAGCAGAGCTGATCGAGCAGCGAGCTCCGCCGCCCTTCGTCATCTACCTTTTCAAGGCTGTTAAGGATCGCGCGAAGCTCGGAAGCCTTCGCCAGCGCCTCTTGCTGCTTCCTGGCTGCCTCCTCCTGAGCTGCGCGTTGTTGGGGTGTGAGTGCCACCGGTCGCTGGCTGCTGGGGTGCCCCGCATATGCGCCTGCGTGTCCTGGGACAGCAGCGCCAGCGTACGCGCCCGGAGCGTAGGAGCCTATGTATCCAGCACCATACGCGGATGCTGGTGGGATGTTGTGGCGTTGAGGTGGTGCACCTGGGACTTGCACGGGTGCGCCGCCTATCCGGGGCGGGAAACCACGCTGGCCGGGCGTCGCCCAGATCAGCTTCGGCTCGAGTTGAGCCCTCTTGTCCGCAGGGCCATAGATCTTAATTGTCCTGATAATTCATTACTCGACCGCCGCGCACTCAGGAATGAGTAGAGGCTTACATGGCCAGCTGATAAGTCTTTCCTCGAACTCCCACTGCGCAAATGTCAAACTCGAGTTTACGTCGCAGCAAGAATCACTTACAGTTGCCTTCGTGCATAACACCTTCGAGAGTGATTCCGCCACGGTCCATCATGGGAGCAAATCTCGCAGCGTCTTGCCGCGGTACATGTCCGACTTGCGTTCGCCCTATATTTTCCACCTTTATGGCATTTCTGCGCAAAAGCTCTCAGTACGTACGCGATACACGCGCCAAATGGATAGTAACACCTATCGTACTGGTTCCTCGGCTCTCGAATAAGCCGCACTTCTTCTCCAGGTCCGACCAGGCCTAGCACACATCCAGTTAGAGTTCGCACGCGGAAGCTATTCTCGGCGCCGCACCTGCGTAATACTGCACACCGACAATGTTGGTTCGGTATGTAACATATAGCTCGTCCTTCGCTTCCTCTTCATCTGGCACGACTTCCTCAATGTCGTCATCGACGCGTATCGTTCTCGTTCCGGGGCGTTGAGATGCCGAAGGCTGGGACGGCCCAGCCTGTGGCGCGTTCTCCGCCTTGCGCTTCAGCTGCGTTGACGCGGGTGCAGCCGCAGATGCTACACTTGTACTAGCTGTCTTTGCGCTCTCTGGTACGTCCTCGGGGTCGACGTGTCTCCGTCCAGCCGCAATGCGAATTTTCGCCTGGTCCTCGAATCTATACGAGATGCACATATTTACGCGTCCTGAAACGCATACATCAAGCGAAATGGAAGTGCGTACCTCAGGTTCTTGAATCCCGGGACGCGTTCAATCTTTGTCTGCGCGAGCTTCGCAAGAATTTCGGGCGTAACGCATCCCCTAATAACCAGGAAATAATATGGTCAGCCATTGACGAGTTCGCAGTGCGGTAGGAGCATATACGTACCAGTGTCTCCATTTCACCGTCTCTCCGTACTGCCCGAAAGTCACTTCGCCGTACCTGAGTGCGCCAAGCTCGATGGGTGTGCCTTTACATGGCGGCTGTCCGTGGCACGGTGCTTTGCTGCTCTTGCTATACTGAAAATATTCGTGCACACGGTCAGACACAGGGTTTAAAGTAAAAACAATGGCTCTACCTCGAGCATATGTGAAGTCGCCATGGTGGTTATGGAGCAAGTCGCGGTCGCGTCCTGAAAGCGTCGGGGAGGCGCGCATTCCACATAGGGAAGTCCCGCCCTCGCGTAAATATATACAAATAGTTAGGCACGTGATACACAAAAGCAAATTATTCTCTATGCATCTACAAAACAACATTGGTGACGAAGACTACGGACAACGAGATACATGTATTATACTATAGACGGTTTCCTGGCTGTGCCTTCTATCCGGACCCCAAGCGCTTGTACCCAACAGAGGTGTACACAACTATCGCAAAATGTCCATGACAAATAATATATGTCCAAGTATTTAAAGTTCCTAGAAGCACGGGATAAGTAGTTTGGAGAGGCTACAATGTGACGACTTACGATAAGGTTGAGGTTACCGGACACCAGTCGGTTCTCGAGGATACACCCGTCAGGGATGTCAATCCGCTGGCCCTCGTTCGCGACAACGATTACAGTACCACGCAGAGTGACGTTACGACCGAAGGAAACGTCGCCAGTGACGGTCAAGTGGTCGAGCTCGATGATCTTGGGGATCTTCTTGAAGCGTTTTTGGAACTGCTGAATCTTCTTGAAGTGGTCGCCAAGCTTGATGACCGGTGTCGTCTCGAACATGCGTTGCGGGTTGATGACGAGCTGGCCATGCTGCAGCGAGTAGATGTCTGACTTGATGAGCAGGAGATCTGAGCAGCTCTTAACGGGCAAGAACCGACTACGGGGAACGTTGACACCGTGGCCGCCCGTGAAGAACTGGATGGCGTCACCGGCCGCTGTTTCGAGCTGGAGGACAGCCTGGCCATCATCGGTCGTCTTGGGGTTGACGATGATGTCAAGCTCCATCTCGCCATTCTCCATGATGCGCTTGAGGGCTAAAAAGTTTCACGCGAGCAAAATGGTGAGCGAGCGCTGATAATTACGTCATTTCCAGGGCTAACGCACCCTTCAGGTTAATCCACAGGTTGTTGGTGTTGAAGATCTTAACTTACGAACGGACTTGAAGTCCTCAATGTGTTCATTAGGGACCTGTGCGACCTCAAGAAGGCGGATTATGCCGTCATAGTCGATGAGGGTACCACCCTTGACATCAGCCTTGGTCTTGTCAGTGACCTCCATGATGAACTCTGCTTGCGAGTCAATCATGTGCTGGAGAATCTTCTGGTCAACGCTGCAAAAAGTATGATAAGACCCGGAACGTGCACATATGGAGAGACGGGGCACTTACACAGCACCCAAATTGTCGGAGTTAGACACGAAGAGGTATTCCTTGCCCTCTGAGATAAGCTGGTCGAGGACACCAGACTGGTGCAGAGCGTTGTAGAGGTCACCGTGACCCGGGGGGTACCAGTTCTTCTTGTCATCGTCCGCGCTCTTGGGACACGGGAGAAGCGATTCCTTGTACATACGGGGATAGCGCGACTGGTTGAAAGTGGTGATACGCAGCTGCTGGTTCGCGTACTTCTTGATGATGCGCAGGGTGTCTTCATGTGTGTTGAAGGATGTCATGAGGATAAGAGGGACATCTACGCGGTGGGTAGTGTTGAGGTGCTCAATCTGACGGACAGTCAGGTCGAGGAAGGTCATGTCGTCTTTAACCTCGAGCGCACTCTTCGCGCCAGTCATACCTGAGCACTGGTTAGAGGTGCCGTTACCATGGTATGCTTGGCGGATTCGACGTACCCATTGAAGTACCGAGACCACCATTGACCTTCAAGACCGCGAGTTTCTGGAGAGCAGAGGGATCACCCTCGGGAAGGTTGGCGTAGGGGACAACCTTGTCTTCTCCTGGTGACTTGATGCGATCCCACTCGCTGAAGGAGGACTGTATGTTAGACATGGCAGAGATCTCGACATTAGACACACTCACATCTCTTGTGCGACAGCACGCTTAGCAAGGTAGCGCGTGAAGAGGTAGAAGAAGGACTGCATCTCGGTGTCGAAGGCCTACCATCGATGAAAATCAGGTCAGTGAGCCGACTAGGTAGACGCGTCGACGCGATGATACCTTCTTTGTCGCAGGATCGGAGACGCTCTTGACGAGATTACTGAGCTCGTTGCGCATGGCTTTCGCCGCAACACCGGTGGTAGCGGTCTTGAAGTCCATCTGAGACTGACCACGAAGACGGGAGGAGTCGCTTTTGGGCATGAGGGAGTCCATGCTGGTGGTTGAACGGTAACGACGATGAGCACGACGCGCAGGACACGGTAGGGAAGGGGGGGGGAAAGGCTAACCTGGGTTGGTTGAGATAGATGGGCTTGGTGGTTGAGGTGGAGATGAGCTGTGGGGAGGACTGGGTCCTGGTGAGCTGAGTCCGAGGGCGATGGTGACGTTTATATATGTGGAGATCCTCTGAGCTTGCGGCCAAGTCCGAACCTTCTGCAACGGGCGACGGCTCCTCGAAAATTGGTTCACAAATCGATTTCCGAGGCCAGGTTCTGTTCCCGTACAGGCCGAGATTATCCTCTGCATCTGATCCGACAAAGAAAGAAAAGCGGGCGATGGAAGAGGGTGACTGCGAGGTCGCCGCCGCCGTCTCCGGCTGGCTGGCTCTCCTACTTCGCGGTTGCAACGACAAACGTGCGTGCATGTGCCCCAGCAATCATCCAGATACCGAAAGCACGCCTACGGGAGGGAAAGACCGAAAAATGCCCTCTTCGACGGTCACCCTCCCCGTGCCTTTATGGGCTTCGCTCCTCATCAACACACGCTGATCAGCCCAGAACAAATCGGGCGTCCATAGACACCGCATCCCATCTTCTCGCTCAGATTGGTCGGTGAACGTTGCGAACCCTCCTCGCCTACCCAGAACGGTGTCAGGTAAAAGTACGCAAAGCGGCCGTCCTGTTCTCCCGCCTAGATTAGGCCCCCGGATCTTCTGTTCCGCGCAAAGAACCATGGCTTGTTGGCCTGTCATCTACGTACATGTGGGCAAGCTAGAACACCCCTCTGCATTGACGGAGCCAAGGGCAACCAGACGCAGGCTGTATAGATTAGCCGAACGAGCTCGCGTCGTGAGCGCGAACGCAGCAACCCTGAGATCTTACGGCAGCAACCCTACATGTACACACGTCGCGTGCAGTGTCCAACATTCAACGCGACGGTTGCCTCAGATGCCGACAGCTCGACCGTCGAGACCATGGCCCAGTTACTCATGTCAAACTCTATGTCATATCGAGAACATGTCCGTGACAAACAGGTACCTTGTTCCTGCAACACCTCAAATACCGTGTACAACATCTGTCACCAGCACCCACAGCTCTTGTCTTGTTCTTCAAGATCTGAAACTCGTGCCTAGACCACGATTGTCGCATCTACAGGAACATCCACCATGCTATCGTCCCAAACAGCACGACGGGCACCCATGCCACTTCCAAGACGTCTTCGAAGAAGCCTCGGAACAATCCTCTACGACCTCGTCTAAGCGCCGCGTCCGGGCTGCTTCTGCAGCCAGCCATGTATACTAAACGACGTCGCATGGAACGCAGCCTAGACAGCCACGTCCGTCCCCGGCGCACCTTCTGAGTGATGGAGACAGCAGACGTGGGAGGCGGCAAAGCGTGCGCACTATCGTCATCGTCCACTTCCTTGTCATGCTCTTTGTACACGCGTGGTGCAGGAGGAAGCGGAGGAGGTGATGTTTGCCACAGGTCGAATTGCTCTTCGTCTGTTGGCGACCGTGTTCGAAGGGGGGTCCCAGCACCCGACCATGTCGCGTGCGACTGAGAAGCGGAATACGTATTCCTCAGGAGAAGTGCCAGCAGGCTGAGAACCATCAGGGGTACGTAGATGGAGATGTAGATGCCAACTTGGTCAGGCAGGAAGCATGGACCGTCGAGAAAGGTCTGCGAGCCCACAGGTACAGACGACGGCGGCAAAAGCGACAGCAACTGGAAGCCCGGCCGTCGGATGCCCATGGCCATCGAGAACGACTTGACAGACACCTCCTTGACCTCGCCGTCTTCAGACAATGGCACGTCGTCGGACGCGAGGAGTAGATGGCCAACCTCGCAGTAGTCGTGGTCGTCCCCGCTATGATAGAATCAGACTTGGTTATAGACTGGAGTAGGCCACGGTCACCTGAAGACGACAGCGGGGCGGAGGCTGTCCAGAAGTAGTTGCGAAGCCTGGACACTGAGGGTATTCTCATACCCATAGCCCGCGCCCTGACGGATTGTACCTTGCTCTCTCAAAGGTCCGCAGTACGTGTTGTCGGGCCGAGCAAGAGGAATGTGTGTCAGCAAGATGGTAGGCATGTTCCCTGTCCGTCCTGAGAGTCGTATGTCAGTGCACGATGCCAGATTGGACGTTATTCCACCGACTTTTGACAGCAGCAGACTTTTGAGTGAATGCTATGGGACCGCCAGGGTGGGTAGCAGCCCACCGCTGGTAGGACAGCCCAGAGATAGAACGTTCGTGGTCTTCCTCCACCAACCCAGGAGCGTCGACTATGACAAGAGTATGATTCGCGATATCAAGTCTCCGGTTCAAGGGCCCAAAGTGCTTGACGTATCGTTCGTGGGCCTTCTCGGAAAAGCCTGCGTGGACCCCATCTATTCTAGAATTCATGTTCTCAGCTTAATCTTGTGGATGGGAAGCGCGACGCACCCAACGTCGTGATTGCCCGGTATATAGTAGACTGGGGTACTGTTCTTTATAGAAAATATGCTTTTGAATCTAGCGTAGTAGCCCTGGTACCTAACAATGAAGTTCAGGACTTCGTTTGCATCCGAGTTACATTAGGCACGCACTCAGCATCATCCATATCGAAGCGTCCACCGTCCATCATGTCACCGAGGAATACAACGAGATCGGGTCTCATGCGCAGTGTAGCCCACCAGCTCTTGCGGAGGTTTAGGTCGACCATACGCTGGCTGAGAGACATCAGCCATGGAGAGCGCCCTGGATAGGACCGGTGGTCCAGTACCTGCGGGTCCGCTATGAGCAGAATACGCGTCGGTAACACCTCTGGCTGCAGTATCTAGACATAGCTATTCATGTGAGCGATGCGGAACCATTGCGTTCAACAGACGCACATGCTGTAACTCGGGCTTGACTTGGGTATCGGGCCATTTGCACTGGGAGACGCAGTAGATGAAAGTCCCCAGCTCGTACCAGATGATAGCCGCTATCCACACGGTGCGAAGAGCGTTCACAAGGCGTGGGCCAGTCTTAAACAGGTGTGACAATCGAGCAGAGGGCATGGTGATGCACCTATGGATCGTGGTGGTATGAGCGACGGCGAGGTTACGCGTTCGGAAACGCACCTATTCAAACGTGGTAAGAGTTCAGTGTAGTGCGCATCTTAGACGGCCAGTCAACTCGGTAGGGTAGGGACGCACCTTTCATATATTGCTTCGTTCCGCTGCGCGATTCATATTCTCTCGGCAGCTGTTTTCGTAGTGACTATCTTTCGACGCAGATTGTCTTCGTGGCTGATGCTTACTGGGCTGCGAGCCGCAGCTTTCTCGCCAGTCGTGGGAACTCAATTCCGAATCGACTTGGAAGGCGCCGATCTCGAAATAGCCTTAAAGCACGCGCATATCCCAAGGGTGCTGGGGAAAGTGTATATTTAGGTTCGGGAATGGAGCAATAAATAGCAAGTGGCCAGTCACTTACTTTCAGTGGTAATCGACATGCATCCTCAGCCTGTTCTGGGAACCGAATTGAAGCTTGTAGAGATCAGCCACATTGCGTACCGAGGGTAGATGGATGGTCGGTACATTATCTGTTCAGGATGCGTGGCTGATGCGATAGCTATAGGTATACTGGGTTGCGGAAAGCTGTTCGGCATAGTCGGGGCGGAAGCTGCCTCCCCACCGACTTATACAGCGTGCTTCATCGACGAACGCTACGCGCAGGTGTAGCATATCGACCACCCATATGCCCTCGGAACGCGTCCAACCAACTACCGGTAGACCGGCCACGAGTCCAGCGCAGGTGGTGAAAGAAGGCCCCGGATCCTTCGCTAGGAGCTTGGTACGAAACTTGTCATCCAACTGGAGACACGAAGATGAGCGGGTATTTTTCTTTCATAATCCTCTACACGGTCAGTGTTACTTTGACATCATTACGGGCGCGACTAATTGCCATACCTCATAGATAAAGATATTATTTTGAAAGCATCTTTGCAGAGGGCAATCGCAAAAAGCCTCGACGACTTCACCTACGTGCTCCCACTAGGGTTCCGGTATGATAAGTTCGTTCAGCTGCCATGGACGTACCTGGTCCAGCATGAGAGCTGATAAAGGAGATACCAACAATGCTATGTCGCTCTCGTGAAGAAGGAGGGAGAGGGAAAAGCAGCTAGACCCTCCGCAACCTGTGCCGGCGTCGATGAGGACGTTCCCTCGGCACAAAATTGCTCTCGCTGCATCCAGGTTCCAAGAGAAATTGGCACGCCGAGCTCTCTTTCACTTGGAAAAGTACAGAATCCAGCGTTGTCCCATTCTCGGGACCAGGTTTCATGCATCATGGGGTGTGCCAAAGCGGACCACATGGGCTTTGTGGCGAATCCAATTTCTCAAATGTCTCACTTGAAACATTGGGTATCCGGAGCCAAAAAACGACGTTTATCTAATATGACAATATCATACAGATGACTGAGGCACTACGCCAAATTGTGCTACAGCCGTCATGGCCACTCCCATTGTGCCGACGAACCCCCTTGACCTCCGAGGAGCGGCGAATAGGCCTGTCTACGCAGTATCGCGTGGCATCGTGTCAGGGATCCTGTCTGTAGCCGACATTCCACGACGGACACCTACCCGTGCGGTGCGTCGGGAAGCCTGCCGAAAAAAATCCTTTGATACTATGATAGCCCCCTGGTTTATAAAGGCTCCTTGCTTTATAAAATCGATCTTGCTGCTGCAATATGCCCCCGGAGGTGCTGTGAATATTTTTCATGGTAGACTTGTATTCATACTATAATATGACACCCATATCATGGCGGGTGTGCAGCAAGGGACGATATGATGTTTTTGTGGATGCTCGGAAGTGGTCCAAAACTGGCCGAAAAATGCTACTGATGGCTAGATCCAACCAGATCTCGCTCACCAAATATTCTGGCGACTGCATCCATAGACTTTTGTACTTACACCAGACATGGCTGGTCAACATATTTGGTTTACAAGGTGCTATGTACATGTACAGGGAAGGAACATTAGTGGAGCGTTACAATGAACGAGCAAGGCGTGATGAAATTGTCGCTCCGCCTGATCTCAAACAACTGAGGTTGACTCTGGAGAGACGGCTCGGCTTCTCGGCAGAGACACGGCTCGACGGCATCTGGTGTGACACTTGTGACGAAATTTATAAAAAGTGGTGCAGGGCCTACTTTGTGCACCGGAAAGGATCCGCTGCTCTTGCAAGACCTCAATAAAATATTATAAAAATACGAATATATAGCTAAGGTGTGTACACATCGACTCATGCAAAACCGCCCGCGAAGCATGAGTGTGGTAAGCTACAGGATGCAAATTTTCCCAAATTTTATAAAGCAGGGTACCATCATAGTACCGGCGTGACACAAACTCGCGGCTGTTAAATTTTCTTGTAGGTACCCGTGAAGAGGCTTTCCGGAGGTTGGATATAGGCGGACGCTCGTCGTGTTTGCGGCCAGCCATCACAATAACAGTGATGGCGCGTAAACTCTGCGATGCATATAGAAGCCTTGGCCTTGAGGCCCTTGGCTGAGACCTGAGGTCCGATTCCAGGGGCGCGTGGCTAGATATGCTGAACGGGCGCGAGCGAATCGACGGAAGCTGTCGTAGAAAACAAAGCTGTCTCTAGCAGTTTCGATATATAAAGCACGGTCATGTATATGAAGACTAAATACACGAATTTCGTAACGAATTCGACGTAGCCAAAAGGATACGTATGAAATCATGCGCGGTTAAGGCAAATAAGCAGGCGTCTGCCTCGCGCGCTCAATTTGCAGTCTTCCAAAAACGGTCTCCAGTTCTGCTCGCCTGGCGCTTGGGAGCATATTCAGGATTCACCTTCGTGCACAACAGTCATGGCATCCAGCATAGAGCTGATTAACCCCAAAGCAGAGAGCGTACGGAGGGCTGCTGCTCTTCAGGTCTGTTTCTGCACCTGAATTCAAGTGGAATGCGAGTTGAAGGCGTTGGCCAGGTGAATATTGCGGGTGCGATGGGTCTTGCTAATGTAGTGAAAAATAATCTCGGTACGTACGTTTCGTGTGGAGTCACACAATGTGCCCTTATTGCTTGGGATGTAGGCCCAAGAGGGACGCTCAAGATGCTCGTCGATGGTGCCGGTCAGATTAAGATGACAAAGGACGGAAAGGTCCTCCTCTCTGAAATGCAAATCCAAAATCCTACCGCTGCCATGATCGCACGAACAGCCGTGGCACAAGATGATCAGGTCGGAGATGGTACGACATCGGTTGTACTACTCGTCGGCGAGCTCCTGAAGCAGGCCGATCGCTACATCTCCGAGGGCGTACACCCCACCGTCATTGCTGAGGGTTTCGATCTGGCAAAGAAGGAGGCTCTGGCAGTGCGTCGCAAATGTCGTCGGCTGAGAGATGCAAACTGACATATCATGGCAAGTTCCTGGACACCTTCAAGCGACCAGTAACCCTCGACCGCCCAACACTCATCAGTGTCGCGCACACCTCACTCGCCACCAAAATCCACAGCACGCTGGCGAAGCAGCTTGCTGCTGACGTCGTAGATGCCGTGCTGACCATCCGTCCTCCACCCCCACCAGAAGGTCGGTCCTTGGGTTGCTGCGCCAGAGACACGCCCGCTGATGTTCCGGGTGCCAGATGCCAAGGACAGATGGCGAGAACCTGTTGATCTGCACATGGTTGAAATCATGAAGATGCAACACCGAACAGCTTCAGAGACTCAGCTCGTCCGTGGCTTGGTTCTAGACCACGGTGGCAGGCATCCCGACATGCCCAAGCGCGTCGAGAACGCGTACATCCTGACACTGAACGTCAGTCTGGAGTACGAGAAGACGTAAGTGCATACATTTTACTCTATAATTAAGGAGGTTATCAATGTTCGTCTAGCGAGGTCAATTCTAGCTTCTTCTACTCTTCTACTGAGCAACGCGAAAAGCTCGTCGAGTCTGAGCGCCGCTTCACAGATGCGAAGTGCAAAAAGATTGTGAGCTGAAGAACCTCGTCTGCGACCAGGTCGTAGGATCAGGCGAGAAGCCCAAGAACTTTGTCATTATCAACCAGAAGGGTATCGACCCACTCTCTCTGGACATCCTTGCCAAGAACGGCATCCTGGCTCTTCGTCGGGCGAAGCGGCGTAACATGGAGCGGTAAGCTTGTTGGTAAGCCCAGCACACCCCTAGTTCTGACGAAGTTTTTGCAGTCTGCAGCTCGTCTGTGGCGGTGTCGCGCAGAACTCGGTCGATGACCTCACACCGGACCTGCTCGGCTGGGCCGGTCTCGTCTATGAGCACACCCTCGGCGAGGAGAAGTTTACTTTCGTCGAAGACGTCAAGGATCCGAAGAGTGTCACTCTCCTCATCAAGGGCCCTAACCCGCACACCATCCAGCAGACCCGAGATGCGCTCCGCGACGGCCTGCGCGCGGTGAAGAACGCGTTGGAAGACGAGGCGCTGGTCCCTGGCGCCGGCGCCTTCGAGGTCTCGTGCGCCGCGCACCTCTCTGGGCCGGTGAAGAAGAACGCCAAGGGGCGAGTCAAGATGGGTGTCCAGGCATTCGCCGACGCTTTGCTCGTCATTCCGAAGATGCTCGCTGCGAACGGCGGATTCGACGTTCAGGACGCACTTGTCCAGCTACAGGCTCGTGTTCAGTCTCTTAGCGTAATTACCTCGGACAAACTGATAAGGAGCCCATTTGCACAGGAGGAACAAGCGGATGGCAACATCGTTGGTCTCGACCTGCAATCCGGCGAGCCATTTGACCCAACGATCGAGGGTGTATGGGACAATTATCGGGTCAAGCGGCAGATGCTGCATTCATGGTGAGATCCTTCCGCCGCCGACCATTCACCTCATTCGCTGACATCTTCTCCGCAGTTCTGTCATCGCTGTTAACTTGCTCTCAACTGATGAAATCCTTCGTGCCGGGCGCAGCTCGCTCAAGCCCGACGGCCAACAGTAGACACTGTACCACATGCACCTGTCAAGCAATACAAACTCTATTGGTAGCGACTAGTACTAATGGCACTATGCGAAGACGGTCTGCTGAGAGTCGCCTTCGCAAGAACGTATTATACAACTTACAGTTAGACACTACATAAGGTAGAAAGCAACTATCGTCGGCAAGCTTACTCGTTAGCAGCAGAGAGCAATGTCATGATGCAAATGGCCCATCAGTCCAACCGAACGGAACGGGATATAGGCAGAGGCACAAGACTATGATATAGAGGTATACATTCACGGGGAGTCAGTGTCTGAGGAAGTGTCCCAACCTGCGTAAGTCAACTTGACAGGCGACCTCGCTATCGGTGCCAATATGGGTGGAGGCGTAGCTGGCGAGGATATATAAGGGCGTGTCGGCAGAGCGAGTACTGTAGACAGAAGAGGGAAGGAAGAGCGTGCACTAGAGGCGGGTTGTCGTAATCTGGAGTCATATGGGTAGTCATTCGAGGGTATGGGGAACGAGATGTTAGTCGACAGGTTGAGAATGCGATCCGTGCGGGAATCAGGGATGAGAACGGTGCGTTTCCAAGCAGCACCCGGCGAACTCTCCGACACTCCGGACACGGCTACCGGTGGCGTAGGAGGTGTCGCAGAACTTGCCAAGGATGCTGAAGCCGTAGAGCCGACTCCGAGAAGGCGCTCCACTAGACGTTCGGAACTGTCCGATGTTGCTTCGCCGACAGGCTCAGGAGTCGGGACTCTTGACAAATGCGGTTGTATTTCTCGGACAGATCCTAGGCTGGTGAACGGAGAGACGGGGGAGCTGCGGCCAAAGTGAGGCGTTGTAGGCCTGCTCATATGGAAGCTTGCAGGCCGGTAGATCGGGCTCCTGGCGCGAGTTGTCGGATACCCACTAGCTTCCAATTCGGGCTGGCCAAAATTGAAGTACGGCGCGCGGTGTAGTGTGGGAGGTCGCACACCGGGCTGGATGGCTGCGAAGTCAGGCAGGAGTACAGTAGCGCCATCCGAGTCTTCGCCGCTAGAGGAGTCCTACGAGGCGATGGCAATTAGCTGGACAGTCTCTACAGCGAGGAAGGGGGAACCTACATCATCCGTGGTGTAGCACTCATCAGAATCATGATCCTCGTCGGGGTAGCTCAGGCTCGCAGCCAAAGACTTCCTTACCGAAGCGCTGTGCTGAAGGTGCACACCGCCGTTTGGGGATTCGGCAAGATCTGAAGGTTTAGTGTCGCGTCGCAAGCTGGACTGCCTAGAAGCGGTGCCTTCTACGGTACCAGGCGGCGCCCAACGCCGCTTGGCGAGGTTCATTGGCGAGGGCTTGTATGTCAGCTTCGCAGTATGGACGACTACACTCGCCAGATGTGCTGCTGCCTCGCCACTAGCCTGAATATCGGCTTCATCAGATTCGCTGTCGCTGTGCCTGGAGGTGATAACGGCCGCCGGTGCAAGCTGCGAAACATCAGAGGCCCTCCTGGAAATACCGGTGCCGGACGCTTCGACGCCCTCAACTGCCCATTTGCGACGAGCAAAGGAGATAGGGTTGGGTCGCAACAGGGAACCTCTGCCCATGATAAAGCGGGGTGTAGAGCTGGGGGAGTCATCTGAGACGTCACTGTCGCTAATCCGATATTTCTTTCTAGGGGAGTCATCGAAGTCTGAAGAGTCGGAAGTGCGTTTGAGGACCACATCTTCCAGAGCTTCTTCCCCGAACTCAACATGCTCGGTCTCGTCTGAGATAGGGTCAGATGACGGGTCGTTGTAGTAATCTTCGTCATCATCTACTATATCGCCCTCCATAAGTGTGGTAATGACAGGCTTGAGTCCCGTCGGACGTGGATTCATCTTGTGCCCCAGCGTGAACCTCTTGCCCACCGTGAACCGTTTACGCACGAACCGACCGTTCGTAGATGCCTTCTTGCCAAAGCGGCCATTAGCATCACGAGGTTGCGCGGCGACGGCCAGACTCTTCGGCGTGACGTTTTTCGGCGAGACGGGTGTTGTAGCGGTGGGAGTGGTTGGCGACGCTGGCAACGCGGGAGGGCGATCAGGGCTTTCCGGCACTGCACTAAGAGAAGAAGTGGACGGGGGATACCGGCGCGGTGACACTCTTGTCGGCGGGACAAGAGGTTCACGTTCTCGGAGCTTGAGACTAGGCACTCGTGTCCTGCCGCTGCGTCTTCCATCCATCTTCTCCTTGAGTGCCCGCATCTCCTGCACAGTTTGTTTGGCCTGCTCAGCCATAGCGGGACGGCGAGGCACAAATGCCGGTTTCTGCTTCTTCACAGGCCGTGGGTCGTCCGCATCATGCTCGACACGTCGTTTCTGGTTATGCACTGTAGTGCTGGCGAGTTTCCCGTTGACCGCGACCAGAGCGCCAGGAGTGATCTTCTTCGCCTGCGTAGAGAACATAGGCTGAATAGGGACAAATATTCTGCCATCTCCTGGGACGCGCTCTGGCCATTTGCGACCGTAGATAGCGAAGTGGCGCAGACACCTGCGAGCATAAGGCCAGCCTGTCAGAAGGTGATAAATGAGAAACCGCGGATTTCAACACGTACCGCGGACAATCTGTCGTAATATCTTTTTTGGGCCTGCCTCGTTTGCCCGTCCTGCCAACACTTAGTCCCCACACAATTTCCGAATCTACAGAAATCACGGGAAGCACGTTCCCACAGGTGGAGCACATTGGCAAGGGCTTTCCGTCCAGGCCCCTTGGCGCATCGTCCAGCTTCTTCTTCGAAAGAGTCGAGTCGAAGATGGGTGCGGAAACACGTGGTCTGAGGTGACGCGCTTCCGGCTCATGTAACTCAATATCACGTACGTCAGATACGGACGCCGTGGTCGCACGGCCCTTCCCTTTTTTGTCCTTTGCAGGTGTGGAAAGGCGAGAGCTTTCGGTTACTGAGGATTGAGTGTCACCGGCGGAACGGAAGCGAGATAACGAACGGACGCTGGTCGCAGCGCTCTCGTTCGTAAGCGGCGGTGTGATCAGTTGCCTCGCAGTAGAGACAGATCGGCCAGTGACCGTCTTGCTTGGAGCTCTGCTGGTGGCAACACTGCTCGACGCCTCGAGGGATGCTTCGCGCGCCTTTTGTGCGCGAGTCGATATGACAGACCTAAATGGAACGGCGGTAGGGGTCGAGCTGTCCAAAGCTTTCCTCGGGACAGGAGCGATGGGCGCAGAGAGCGTTTCTCGGCCTATGTCTTTGAACAAGGCGCGTCCTCGGGATTCGCCTTCTGGTTCAGGCGTCATAAGCCCATGGTCGATGATCGCAGGCGATGGCAGTGAAGAGTGGGAAGTTGGCAGAGACGTTAGATCGGATGCGGCCTCCACGTCGGCCTCCTTGCCCAGTTCGATGGAACCGCCTCCCGCAGCCTCCGGCATAACTGCGTATACGCCGCGTCGAGTGCGACGCTCGTTGCAATTGATAGTCCCCGCGTCTGATTCGTCAGAAGAATCATCAGCTTGGGAGGAACTCTCGTCGCCGTCTACCTCCTCGCGGCTCGAGTTCGAGCCGCTGTCAGACAACAAGTCTTCCTCTGACCCCTGGGGTGCATACCCGCCTCGACCGTTCTTCTCGCATGTCGCGCACAGGCAATGGCGATTCTTCCGACCGACTGTATGCTACGTCAGAACAGGGGATCATGCCAAATGTGGACGACTCCTCACAATATCCCGGGCCATAGTGGGCGGAGACCTCTTCCCCGACCCCGATCGGTTTTATGACGCGGAAGGTAATGTAGCGACCCTCACGAAACAGTTCGACATTGTGATCACAGTCGTGCTAAGGCAACGGACATCAGTTCCGCGCTACTCGAGACGCCGCCGAAGGGTCGAGGTGAAAACTTACGTTTACGAACCGCGCGGGACCCAAGAAAAGGTGATTCTTCTTGAGCTGACGCGAATGAATGACGCTGAAATCGCGGCGAATTCCAACGCCCTCGGCGTGTCTCTCGCCAGTCCGCTTTAGCTCCTTGTCCTCTTCCTCAGTCAAATCTGCCATGGACCCCTTGAGTTCGGAGATGACTGTACCGGGGGCGAGCGGGCGGGTGGCGAGTATGCACAGTTCTGATTTCCCCGTCCGGTGCGAGTAGCGCGACGTGTGAGATATTTCGATAGAACCGTTGGGAAGGTAGAGCTCGAAGTAGCGAGAGGCATGGCTGGAGAGGCAGTGTTAGATGCGCGACGTTCATGCTATGCAGGCAGGGCCAGACGCACGTAGCGAAAGCGTTGATTTGCTTCTGATCGTAATTAGAGGACTTGAGGTAATACTTCACGCCGTTCAACCTGGTCAGGCGCGAGTCAGCGGAGAGCATGGGAAGTAGTTGTATACGGCGTACGTGAGCAACTCGTCCACAGCCTGCCTGATCACGGTTTGCTGTGCACCCTTGGTAACGACCATCTAACGTAGCGTAGACACGTCGGGGAAACGAGTTGGGCCTCAGCATTGCCACGGGAAATAAGCAGCACGGATTACTTACCCGCCGCACAATCTCGAGGAGATCGTCCGCGTTGGTTTTCGGAAGCTTCCGGGTGGGATCCATTTTGTGTACAACCAGAGGGACGTCGCCCGTGCCGAGCTTTTCGACGAGCAGATGGCTGAGAAAGTCATCATCCCGGGAGAGGTCCCGCATGTTCATAATCTTGGTTGGTTTCCATGCTGCTTTCGACGAGAATACGCTCGTGCTCGCCGCTACGGGTGCCATCTGGCAGGGTGAGGGCGATGGTGCGGGTGCTAGCACGAAGCGCAGGTCGTGGTGGAGAAAACAGGAGATGGTACGTAGAAAGGCACAACAGCAGCGATCACGAGAGGCGCGGGGAGGTCGAACGCTGGGAAAACAGAAACTTGAGTCGCGTGGCGGTCCCACTCACCCGTTATGGACGGTCTCTTATATCTCTGGTCTCTTGGTCCAAAGCCGCCGGTGCACAGCAAGACAAAACGTTGGCCATGAAAACAATCTACGGACTGGCCTACGTCCGGACAGCGGAACGAAAACTTTTGTTCTCAGTTTGGTCCGGCGGTGGCCATGCACGACCAGCCCCGCACAGCCGTCAGAGTTAGGCGCAGGCCGCTGACATCACGCTCGCCCCCCTGGCGGTGCCAAAAGTCTGTCGCGCCCATCTTATAGTTCCTGGTGATGATACAGCTAGAGTGACAAAGGACATGCATTGCGACAGAACACGGGACAGGGGACATGTCTTCATACAATAAAAGCGGAAGGAAAGAGGGGATCATAGCTTCCAGTTTTGCCCACGCTCGATTCAGTGCCAGCCCATGCGCCACGACCGTTCAGGTGCCTCGACCCCCGAGTAAAGGAGAACGCAGAGCAGAAGTGAATCCACGAAGGCTGATTTATGCTGCGTGGGCGTGCTTCTGCTTACCAGTCCTGATCTTCCTGAGGTAGAACTAGAAGCGTAGCTCAGTGGCAGATCTTTGAGCGAACGAAGCGCCGAACGCACCTCAAGTTCTTTGCCTTCGAGAACGTAACCGTCAGCGCGACCGGACTGGCCTGGCCGGCTAGAGATGCAGGCGTAGAGACGACCGGCAGCAAACTGAGTCTCGAGGAGAATATCAACTTTGGCGTCTGTAGGTCACCAATCAGACATTGGGCTTTCCGTGAGAGCTGGAGCGAGACGGACCCTTGCGCTTCTCGTCCAAGTGACGCTGAGCGTGTTGCGACAGCTTTTTCTCCTCGGTGGCCTCAGTGGTCTCCTTCTTCGCACCCCTCTTGGTCACGGGCTGAGCGTACTATTTACGAGGGGACAGTCAGTATCTAACTTCATCTGAAGTAGAAAAGCACGTACATGAGCCTCATACCACTGACGGAAGGGGGTCGCGTCGACCTGAACGATGGCGCTCTTGACGAGGGTGTTCGTGCGGACCAACTCGTTGTTCGAGGCGTTGTAAACCTGATTTCCTGCTTTAAGTGTCCTGATTTACGCCCGCCAAAAATTTCTCCTACGCACGACGGTGAGAATACGAGTCTTGCGCGTTGTGTGTTCGCTGCCCCAGGCGAAGTTACCGGTCTCCAGACGAAGAGCACGGTACTTGAGGTTCCCCCCACGGACACGAACGGTGTGAACACGCTTAGGGCCAAGCTTGGTGTTGGCGGGCTGACGGCCGAGCTCGAATTTGCGCTTCTTGCGGTAGCTAGGGCGCTGAGCACCCGTGGCCGAACGTTTGTGCCGGGAAGAGCGGGAGATACCTACAGGTCAAGGACAGACCATATCGAGTGCCGATAAATAGTATATCCAACAAGTTGTAGAGAGCCGGAGGTTAGCATTTTTTGGAGATCGCACAAACGACTGGCAGCAACGCACCCATGTCGAAGGTCTTGAGGCTTGAGGGTAGCCACCGCCTAGACTGTTTTGGTGGATTGCAGTTAACAAATTAAAGTTTGATCTGTTTGAACTCCGACCAAATCTCCAATTCCCACGCTCTAGAGACTTTTCTCGCTGCGGGCTGTCCGCTCTAAGGTTAGATCCGCCTCACTCTTCAATGACGCCTCTCGCTCCCGAATACTCCCCGACCTTTAAGCTTCAATATTCAATGCTAGACGTGGCCTGGTCTTGTGCTATAGCTATGCGTATCTCCTAATCTGTCATGGAGCATAATGAAAAATTCTAGCCTCCTCGCCACAGGGGATTGCCACTTTGTACCTGCGCTTCCCGTTCGACATTAGCGTTTCACAATTCCCGCCAGTACTGGCCTCGTCTTCACCTGTTCTGTTCGGCAGTCGATTTTAAAGGTGTCTGTTGCAGAATGTCTAATCATGACGTCTTTCGAAGACAGTCTTTCGTAGTGCTGGTTCCTGCCGTGTGTCTGTGTAGCACACTTCCGCAATAACATCCAAAGCCTGCTCTTACATATCATACATGTTGTGTGCAGTCATGTTCTGATTTACCGCAGATACACGCGTAGAACAATACTTACGTCTTCGGTGCAGTGAAGTTCACGTATAACAGGTTTCTAGCAGTTACGTAACCCTTTGACGTGCTCCTCTAGCCTGGACTATTTGCGTGGAAGGCTTCACATCAGACAGACGGAAAAGCGCGCATGCGATTGCACGCATCTCCACCATTCTTCCCTACGTACTCGGGATGCTTAAGCAAGTGAATCATCGCAGCCGCAGCAGCATCGGACCCGGCGATGATGGCTAGGCAGAGATGCTTGTTCCCTCAGCTTGAGACGAATCATCTACAGTTATCTAGCCATGACAGTGATTGTTGACAGTGTGACTGACTAAATAATAACATAAGTTCTTCGTCCCAGCTCCTCCAGAGTCCAGTCGAGCCGCAGCACTGGCGTCGCAGACTTGGGGGCCGCCACGAGACGCGGGACGACCAGACGACGACGCCAGAGCAGCCACCCATCAGAGGTTTCAAAAAAAATCTGGGATAGCTCACGATATAAACCTGTCCGTGGTATGCCAGCTATCATTAATGTCTTTCCCCTCCTTCAACTCGTCACCGAAGCTACAGTGGTTATCAGCAGATACAGCTTGAGGAACGGAACATGATTCCTACACTGCCTTGCCCATGAAGTCGTACCTACAGTATCTAGTAAGTCATCGTTCCATTCAAACTAGTCGACAGTCACCGACCCGTAAAAGCTCATCCAACCTGACATGTTGACCTCTTGGTTGACTAGCTTATTGAGTCTTTCCACAAGCTAGCCGGCCGTGGAGCGAACGATTCGCTTGTAGCTCTTGACGACAGCGACGTTCTGACTTTGTCCCACTATCCCCCACGCAGTGCGCGTTGAGTACGCCATTAAGTTGAATAATACCGGCAAGGTCCGTCCGGCCAACGTAGTCTGGCAAAGGGGCTATGCACATGCACCAAAAATTTAAATGCATGAGGATCCTTCATAACATGCATGGCAGCTCATTTGGCCCTATGTCAATATTGATGTGAGACCAATAAAAGAGAGCGACGACGTTCCAAAATTTTGCTCGCGTGGCACAAGCGGCATCAAACACTAACATCCGACCTTCCCATATCGGGCCTTCTTCACACACCACCCTACATTTCCCTGGGTACTATTTTGAACTTTTCTTCTGCGCTCTGGCTGCACAGACTGAAGTAGACATTTCTGTAATTGGAGACATTGCGAACAATGCAGATGAGCTTGACAAACCGACGCACGATAGCCTAACGCACACCCATAACGAGCTCATTCACGTCGGAAACGGCCTTACGGTCTATAAAGGTTTGTAGTTAGCGATGAATTCGAAGGAGCACCGTACTTAACTGGCATAATCCATGAAGATATGACAGATGCCTATATTGACTGTTTCTTCCCTGTTTATAGACCTCCAGAACTGTTTGCTGTGTGCTTACACAAGATTTACACATAAAATAAACGGCTGGAGCCTTAAAACAAGGGCCAAAATGAGAAGACATTGACACCGCACTATGCATTAAGGGGGAATCGAACCCCCGGCGGGTCGATGGCAACGACCCAGGTTACCACTACCCCATTAATGCCTATTCGACTGATACAAATTATGATACTTGAACCTACTAGTATGGCAACCTTTGGCTAGGGGGCACAGCTGTGCGCAACTCGGTCGTCCGACTTCCAAATGCTTCGGGACATGCAAGCAGGTACGTCAAAGTGCGCTCGCGGTTGACTCAACTTTGACACATTCCACCACCAAGCTCGTCTTTAACTGCCAGCTCAGCTGTCCTCGCCTTCTTCTGAGCGACATCGCTCGTCTATGTTATTCACACAAAGCACTCGGGACGAGTAAGTCGACTGCTGTTCGTATCGAAGCCAGGTTACTCACACGGATTCTCGCAGTTACCTCAGTGACCTTGTCTTCTCGCTCCTCAGTCATTAAAACTGTTCAGAAAAAATGCTCTTCCGTAACTTCACTCGTATCTCGCGCCTCTCCAGGGGATTTGCTACCCATGCCACGTCGACACCTACTCCTCCTCTGCCAGCGACCCTCCATCTGAAGACCGGCCAGTCTTTCCACGGCCGATCCTTCGGTGCTCCCAAGAGCATATTTGGGGAGACGGTTTTTTCAACCTCTATCACATCCTGTATGTGATCGTTTACGCATGTTCCGACTTTGATGCTCATTCTCAGTGCAGACACTGAGTCGATGACCGACCCTTCGTACCGAGGCCAAATTCTCGTGTTCACTACTCCTCTCATCGGCAACTACGGTGTCCCTTCCAACACAACTCCTATCGACAGCAACGATGTCGGTGTCTATCTCGAGTCTGAACGCATCCAATGCTCAGCGGTCGTCGTTGCTGACGTTGCCGAGAAGTTCTCCCACTACTTGGCCGCTGAGTCGCTGTCGCAGTGGTGCCAACGCCACGGCGTGCCAGGCATTACTGGCGTTGACACTCGTGCCATCACTACTCTCCTTCGTGACCAAGGAACCACTCTTGGTCGCCTCGCAATCGGCTCAGACGCGGCGAAGCCTGCGCCCGCTGCCCATGAGTACTGGGATCCGACGACCGAAAACCTGGTTGACCAAGCCTCCACCAAGACCCCCATCGTCCTGAACCCGACCGGCGATGTGAAAATAGCCGTCCTCGACTTCGGTGCCAAGGCCAATATTCTTCGCTCTTTAGTTCGTCGCGGCGCCTCAGTCACTGTTCTCCCGTGGAACTACGACTTCAACAAGGTTCGCGACCAGTACGATGGTCTTTTCCTTTCGAACGGTCCTGGTGACCCGAGCCACTGCATGGAGGCTGCTATGAACCTCCGCAAGACGCTGAAGGAGTGGTCGAAGCCCGTCTTCGGTATCTGCATGGGCCACCAGGTTATTGGTATCGCCGCAGGCTTAGACGCCTATCGAATGACCTTCGGCAACCGTGGTCACAACCAGCCAGTCCTCGCTCTCGCGTCGTCTGGTTCGATCAAGGCTGGGCGTGTCTACGTCACAAGGTATGTATTTTAGCAATTACCAGGCTTTCGTCGCGATTTCTTATGTCTTCGCGTAGCCAAAACCACCAATACGCGCTTAAGCTCCAGGATCCCTTCCCCGAAGGCTGGGAGCCCTTCTTCATCAACTGCAACGACTCGTCCATCGAGGGCATCAAGTCGACCGTCGGGTCGGGCAAGAGCGTCTGGGGCGTGCAATTCCACCCAGAGAGCGCGGGCGGACCGCTCGACACCATCGAGATGTTCACAGACTTCCTCGCGGAGTGCCGTGCGCACAAGCTGCAGGCTGGCATCCCTAAGCGAGATGTCATGGATACGGCGAAGGTCGAGCCCGCGTTCAAACGGCCGCAGGCCGCACAGCCCATTGCCGCTGCCGCATAAAAGCTTTGTACGGATGCTTTGGCCTTGTTTCATCTCTAGTGTATTTGTGTACTCGTCTCGAATTGCTGAGTGTTTGCTTTTGTAGAACTTATCACGTACTAGGATATGGTTCAGTGAAGTGCTGTGGTTTGCATTAGCTCTGCCAGTGTGGAACTAGTCATGAACGAGCCTTAAAACAGACTGCGAGATGGTAAACTCTGCATACTTACCAGCAAAAACTTTTCGCGTGTAGAATGGCGACCACATCTGTTTACATTGCACAACTCCGAAGAAGAACGGCCTGCGTACTCCTTGTTGCGTCGATACAATACACTGCCTTTTGAAGCGTCAGCTCGTGTGCCACATAGTGCCTACCACCGGTTGGGTAGCTCTTGTTCCGCGCTGACTTCATGTACCTCTTCCCATATGCATATGAAGCTCTAGGTACTCCGTTGGCAGAAAGGCGAGCCACATAGATGTGCCCACGCAGGTGTCAGACGTCGCATGCCCACATTCCTCCCGACATTTCGCACGCAAGCACTGACAAGGTGTTCTGATATCTGAGTCAGGCAATGCTGACTGAGAATTATGCCAGAGCAGCGACATATAACCGAATGCTGAGGTCAGTAGTATAGACATGTACACCAGATAGTACACAAGAAATGTCAGCGCGAATTAAGCATTGTGGTAGATAGCATATGAGTAGTCGCAAGATTAAGACTGCAAGATGCGCCCGGATCACTCAACGATCGTTTGTTTCTTTTGCACGCCTGCCCTTCTGTGCTTGGGAATATGCGAGATCAGCTCGTCCTCCGACTCTGAGCTCGAATCCGACCCTGGATCCGCGAGATCGCCGTACATGTTTTTTCGTCGGTCCTCCGCCGTCGCGTCCATCTGCCGGCGCTGCGAAGGCGTTCGGATCGATGAGAGCGGCGGACGGGGTGAGAGTATCTCCTGGCTCGCGATGTCAGACAACTTCCGAAACTGGCGCTTGAATGAGGGTACTGGACGTTTGAGCTTTTCGTTCGACTGCGACAGCGGCTGCGACCGCTGGGAACTACCCGGTACAAGTTGTGACGAGTGGGATAGCGTCGCGTCTGGATGTTGGCTGTCGCTTGGCACCTTGACGGTAGGCGTCTCATCTTCGGAGTCACGAACTGTGTCCTGTTCTTGCGCCTCTTGATCCTCTCCTGTCGGCTCGTCCTCTTCGTGGAGGCTGTTTGGACGCGAAGCCACGTATGAGCTGCTTGAGTGCAGCTCGTCGACCATCGAAGCGTCCGCATCAGGTGCGCTTGAGGCATCCCCCAAAGCGGTCCATTGGACCGTTGAGAGCACAGCTGGGTTGGGCGGCGCTTTCGCAGGCTGGCTCGCTGTCGGGTCGACGGTCTGCGTCGAGACCGGTTCAGCATTAGGCTCTTCCACGTCTTGAGCCTTCTCGTCCGCGGCAGCAGCCTTCGCAGTACTTGACTTCTTCACCTTCGTAGCGGCAGCCTTTTCAGCATTCATGCGAGCCTTGTCCTCAGCAGCGACTTTCTTCTCAGCGGCCTTCCTTTGCCTCTCGGTCTCTCTCTCCTCAGCCTTCCTCTTTTTCTCGGCGTCCTTCTCTGCAGCGGTCTTGGCTTTCTCCTCCGCAGTCTTGGGCGGCCTTCCACGGCGTTTCTTGGCCGGTGGCTCGGGGGCGGGAGTAGAGGAAGACGGCAAGAGTTGAGTGCTGTGTTCTTGAAGGGACTTACGAGAGGAGCGACGGACGAGAGTATCTACCTGTGACAATTCCTTCCCAGGTAGGAGTGCAGGAGGAGTAGTCTCCGCGCGTTCACTAGCAGCCTCTGGCTGTCTACCCGCGGCTCCCGCAGACATCCCCATAGGCCATGATGCTGGTGATTTTTCGGGCGACGGGAGCCTGCCGTTTCGATCTTTCATACGTTTTGTTTGTCCTGGCTTGAGTGGTGATACTGGAGGTGTTGTCGTCCTTTCGGGTACCTCGTCTTCATCGAGCTCAATGGGATCTTCCAAAATAACGTTTGGTGGCTGGTCGAAGTCTTCCGATGGCTCGATGGGGTCTTCCTGATCGTCCTGAGGATCAAGAAGTGTAGCCTTGGGCCCGCGGTTAGCAGGCGTGGACTCCGCGATCCGTTGCGCATCTTGGTGCCGCGGTTCCAAACTGTCTTCGGCGTGGTTAAGAGCGAGCTCTTGTTCAGGCGCGGCCTGAGAGGACTGAAGTATCGACACAGGTCGTTCCTCATGCTCTTCATCTCCATGTCCATCTTTCTCCGCCGACTTCTTCTGGTCCGTGTGCTCGCCCTCCTTCGCATCAGCTTCCAGGATATTGCCCTCCAGTTCCAGTCCACGCGATGACGCTAACGACAGCGCCAACTCGGCGTCTCCATGGGGTTTGGGCTCAGCTTCTGCCTTGGAAGCCTCCTTTGCTGGCGCGAGCGTTACATCTGACGACGACGGAGGCAGGCCAGAGTTAGGCTTTTTAGCTGCAACTGGCGCACGCGACTCAACTGAGTTCTGCAAGCAAAACTAGGTCAGCTATGTATATGACGATCTGTCGCGGGTACTCACATTGCCATTCCCTGCCTCCAGCTCTTCGTACACGGCACTTGTCGATGCTGCAGGTTCATTCTCAGCGATAGCAACTTCGTCGTCGTCCATAGGCTGTTCGTCGGACGACGAAGGGGCACGTCTCTCGAAACGTTTAGACGTACGCCGGTAGGCTTTCTCTTCCTTTTCCTCCGCTTCTGACGCCAGCTCCTTGTCCTCATCTTCGCTCTCTGATTTTTCCTCTTCACTGGAGTCGGAAGGAAGAAAGGACAAGATACTCTTGCGCGGCATTGGGCCGTGAAGAAGAGCCTCAACATTCATTTCGCTCAGGTTCGCAGAGTTTGGAATAGAGTTGAAGAGCGAGACGGGGGTTCTTGTTTCGGAAGGCGGGGGAATTGCGTTCGCCTCTACGTCCTGCTCGTCATTCTCCTCGTCGCTGTCGTCACTGCTGCCCTCGTCATGACCCTGGACCGGAACTTCCGAGAACTGTGTCCCGGCTGAGAGGACGCCAGATATTCGACGAGAAGTTTGGGGAGGAGGGGAGACGTGAGAAGCGAAAGTCTCTCCGACATTCTGTCCATTGGCCACCGTAGGAACCGCAGGTGCCTTGAGTGCCGCAGTTGATGCTCTCCCATGAGCCCCCGAGATCGCAGTGCTAATGGAGGTGCCATCTGGGTCAGGAGTCAAAGCCTTGTCTCGCTGAGCCTCTGGGGTTGTACTCTCATCCGTGATGTCTGCAGGACCCCACGATGTACTAAGTCTGGACTTCATCGGCTGCTTCCGGACAGAGGCAGCCTTCGTGGCAGATTTCGTCGACGACGCGTCCACGGATTTGATCACCTCAGGCGCATCCGCACCTGGCTGCGCGTTGACCTGATACGGGACCGATGCACCGTTGGTCTGATCCGCCTCGGTCTTGCGAAGAACAACAGAGATCGCAGCGAAGATATCGTCCTCGATGTCAGCTACCTGAGTCTGTGGGGGCTTCTCTTTTATCTTTCGAGACGTCTTGGGTTTAGGCTCGAGCGCTGTTAACCTTCGATCAACGATCGCAGCTTGGGTACATATATAGTTATCGTGCTAACAGACCTGCTGGGCCCTTAGCCTCTTTGCTTGATGCACTGGTATGACCTCGCGCTGATTCGATAACCTGCATATTCTGGATTTTGTCCCCTGATGCCGACCACCTGCTCAGAGGACAGTAACGACACACGCTAGACTAGCTTACCTGCGGCCGCTGGGGTCTCCACCTCCTTCCGCTCTTTCTTCTTCTTCTTCTTCGGCTTTTGGGATGCCTCCGCATTCGTCGGAGGTGGCGTCGTCGTCGACGCACTGGGAACCGTAGAGGCCGTCTTCTGAGAAGCCTTCGCAGGAACAGGTTCCGCTTCCGTAGGTGCGACAGCACCATTGATGGACTCAACCGGTTGTTCGCCGTTAGCAGCACTCCTGTCCTTCTTCTTCTTCTTCTTGACCATTGCAGAGGGTTCTGCGAGTTCAGCCGTACGAGCAGCTGGCTCAGGGTCGGCAGCAGTTGCAGCAGGAGCTGACTGCTCAGCCTGAGATTTCTTCGGTTTTTTCGCTTTCTTTGCCGGAGGCTGACCAGCATCATCAGCGGTATCATCTGCTCGTCGTTTCTTCTTCTTCTGAGGCATTTCCGGCACGAGTGCTTCAGTGGCTGTCGATGGTGCACGGTCAGTATGATGTTTCTCGACCTCGACTTTTTTCGTCTTTTTCGCTTTCTCCGCCAGCTGGGTAGTGGGGGTCGGCTTAGGTGACCCTGTACGAGAAGGTTCCGTAGAGTCGACAACGAAAGGACCCGAAGACGTCTGAGGAGGATTTGGTGGACCATCCGCAGAGACCTCCGGAACATTCGAAGACAAGTCGGCGGCCGATCCTGAAGACATCTCCCGAGTTTTGTGCTTCTTCTTCCTCTTCTTGAGAGAGGGCGGAGCAAGGACCTCTGTCATGCTTACAGCCTCAGGAATTGCGGATGGAGGAACAACGCCAGCGCTGGGTTTCTTGCGTGGAGGCGAAGCTATAGACCCGTTGTCTTTAAGATCTGCGTTGTCTAGTGTCCTAGATGAGGGTCCAGCAATGGGCTGCCCCTGAATGGCGCCAGGCACTACACCGTCTGTCTTTGACCGAGCATCGGTGCCGCTTACGACAGTTTGCACTGCAGGTAAAGACTCGTTGCCTACGCGGACAATGACGTGCAAGTTTGGAATAGTGCGTGACAGTGCACGGAATGCTTCGTAGTCGTCCTCTGCGTCGGATTATTGAATTATACATTCATACTTTTGAGTTCAGTGTAACGCACCGTCTTCCAAATCGACTTCTTTGCCATCCCGCAATTGCACGAGACTCAGTTTTGCGCTAACGTCGAGACCAAGTTTCTTCCTCACGAGAGCCTTAACCTCAGAGAAAGATTGGTCTGTTCGTACGCAAGTGTAAGCTTGACTGAGGCCGTCCACGTGAAATGTGGCTTGCCTTTGAGTACACGGTCAAACGTTCTGCTTTGAGGTGCCAAGAACGTTACGACGGTCAACGGTTGGTTGTCCTCGCGCTTTCGTTTCTTGCCCTCCATCTTTGATCCACTTTTCCGAGATAGCGAGCGACAAACGCGTGAGCGTCGCGGTCAGGGTTCCGTGGAGTTTCTGTGGCGGGAACTTCACGAAAGTAGCAGGCGCCCGCCAAACGCTTTCGGAACCGGCCGCGCGCCAAAGCGTTCACGAGTAACCTCCATCCTCTCTGCAGTCGACATGGCCGGGGCACACCGTCAGTCCAGCATTTTGCGCACTCGCGTCAGATTTTGCTGAGTTATGGCGCATCGCAGCATCTGGCTCAGGATTCCACCCTCATCTCCCCGGCTTCAGGTACAAGTTCCTATCCACCACGTTGGGTGCAACAATGTGGTTCTTCATCTTCTTCCGTGCCAGGTGAGTCTATTGTTCTCTTGCCAATCTATGTCTTACTCACAGCATTTACAGGAAGGACGGTGCTAAGCTTATGGTACTTGCTAACTTTCCTCATCTCACTCGTTATTGACCACGCTACGTAGGGTGGTCATCCATGGGAAGCCCACGGACACGGGCACGGCGAACACGGACACGAAGCGCATGGCGAGCACCATTGAGTCCTGTGTCTATAAGTCAATCATATACATTTGCTCTGCACACTGCTGCCCTACATCTCGACATCAAGATTCCTCGCTAGTGTGTCCAATTTTCTCGCAACATGGCTCACGAAGCTCTCGAACAATCCCCGGTCTTTTCCCTGGACCCAGTCACACTCCAGAATGACACTCTCATGCCCCGAACTATCCTGAGTATCACTCGAATTTCCCGAGCATCGCATACGACAGACCAGAGCTGGCAGAGCCGATTGAGGTTCGGCCGTAGGGTCCTCTGGGATGAGCTTCCGTCTTCTGGCTGCCCGGGACCACGTATTTTGCGAGGCATGTAACAGTAGCTCATCCTCACTCGTGAGATTTCGAGATGTGATCGCGACCCCGTCGATGCTCTTCAGCACCTTGAGTAGCGCTTCTTTCGCCTCCACAGCAGTCTGGAACTGTGCGTATGTCTGCCGAAGGGTATTCCTGCTTGGCATAATGCTCTGCAACGCAGAGTTGGATATGCGAGCCAGAGACTAAAACAAACCATCAGAGCTCATTTCGCTAGATAAAGGATTAGGATGTACATCAGGCAAGTGTACATCGCCGAAAGACCAGGCAATCGCCCAGCGTCGTGTCTTGCCTTGCACGAATTCAGTGATAGCATAATTGTCAACCTGAAAAGATGATTCACGATGAGACATTCTGAGTCATGCCAGCCATCTATTCAAACTCGCCTTCTCAGATTTTAGGGACTGTATAACGTCAGTAAGCGACGACATTTTGCCGAGCATGGAAGTGAACCAGCTAAACGAAGTGCGTCTCAGTGCCGCTGATGAACTGACAGTCGCGTGATACACTCGCCAACATCGGTCCTTAAGCTGTAAGCTTTCCTGCACCATTCTGCGGACGAACGCCGCCTCTCCACCAGGAGTAATCATCTCAGTCTCTGCGCCTGTGCAAATTCCGCTCGGGCCCAGCTCCTTCGCTTCTGCAGAGCTGAGCACCTCCTCTCGACTGCTATAGAATGGTGGGTTGCACATCGTGAAGTCAATTACTTGTTCGCTCCTTTGGATGGATCAGAGACATATTCTACTGTGGCGAGCAGAAGAGCTTACTCAAAGACTGCGGTGGGAAAAATGTCGTCGTCTGGCCGAACCCGGACCATCTCGATGCGATCGGTCAGGCCGTTATTATCAACATTTCTGAGAGCGAAGTTCATTGATTGCTCGTCAATCTCTGTTTAAAGCAACGTCAGCTCCGGAGTATGGAAAATAATTTTGGGACTACCTGTAGCCCAAAATATCCAACTGGGATCTGACTTGCATCCAAGCAAAGGGTAGATCGCAGATGCACCTGTGCCACTGGTTTTCCCGTTAGTATGTGGCAGTCATTACATTGAACACTGGCCATTACATGTCGACGCATCGAACTACTCCATGAGTAGGCTCACGCCGGGCACACGCGCCCATGATGTCTTGAATCCAAAGGATGTAATTCAATCTATGTTGAAGATGAATCTCATGAACCACTCGTAGACAAATAGGTCACAGACCTGTTCGGCACCTGGTGTAGGAAGGGGTCGGAAGTTGTGAGCAAATTGTAAGCTTATGTCAACTCACTGGAGGACATAGTCGGTCGGGCGGCAGATCCAACGATAGCCCGAAATCACAGAGCAGGAGGGCTTTTGTCAGACATCTGCGCTGGAACCCATTCGTAGGTTAAGACTGCAATTGAAAATAAGAAGGCTACCATACCTCTGAGCGGCTTCATCTTGAAAGTTAATCACGACTCCCGTCGAGCCCTTCTTCAGGCTGAGCAAATTAATATGTATCAATTTGAGTAGTGTCACGACTTACAAAGGTTTGAGGTTAGGATAGGCCTCAGCCAACGCAATAAAATCCAGGGGAGTCCGGTACGGATTTTGTGGGTGCATTCGATGAATACTAGGTAAAAGTTGCAAACTAGTGAAAGTGATGCATCGACGGTCTCTGTGCGTGTGTCTGATCCTTGTGTTGGGCGTTGCTACGAGTGGTAAGCGTGCAAGGAGCGACGTCATCGCTACGAGGTGTACGGGGTCGCGATTGATGCATGCAATTCGGGGTCGCTAACTGCTACGCCTCGTTCACAGGGCATGTTTCTTTGTTGGAGACAAAGGTTTCGGTAGCCTCTTGACTTGTCCAAACCTACTATTTCGCTTGTGCAGGCTATATGTCGGACCGTGCTGACTTCGCTGCACGGCGACGCACCGTCGAAGTCCCTGCAAGGCCTGAGGCTGGCCTTGCAGAATGGACGAGCAAGATCAAGGCACTGCAGCGACAAGTCGACGAGGATGAGGAGACAGAGACGCGGAGACTTGAAGAAGAGATCGCTGCATCCAGGGCTGCACGCATGCGAAGGAGTACAGGCCACGGAATGGGCACCGATCTATGTATGTCTTCATCTGTCATACGTAAATTGGTTTACGAACGCGGTTGGCTGTGCCCCGAACGCAGCTAATACTGACGTCTCGAAGAACTTGAAGGACAACATACCGAGCACCCCACCACCAACATCCGACTCGCCGCATGGCTTCGCGGATAGGCAGCGAGGTCAAGAGGACACGCTGCGGAAGCTCATGGGAGAGAGCCAGGCTCAGAATGGATCAGCTGCAGTTCGCACCGCAGAGCCTATGTCTCTCGCTGCGTTTATGGGTGGACGCGCTACTGGACCTCGTCTCAACAAACACGCACCGCAGCAGGACGCACACGATCCGACTCAGTTCGAACAGCGTACGATAACTAAGCCGCATCCGGTCTTTGGCCGCAGCGGCGTCGCTTTGGTGGGGCTAGCAGCGAAAGGCAGAACGCGTGTGGAATCAGAGTCGCCAACAGCTAAAGTACCTAGTCCCCAGCCGGTTGTTAAGGAGCCGTCACTTACCTCTTCGCCGCGCGAGGGATCTCCAGTGAAGGCCCGTCCCAAAGGGTCTGAGGGTCGTCGTCCTGCCAGCCCTGAGAAGCGCAGCTCGGTTCCCAGTAACGACTGGCTAGCGTCGAGACAGCGAACCATGAGCACTCCTGCCCCTCCACCAAAAGCCGTGTCGCCCGCACCTGCGAAAGAGTCTCCCGTTCCCAGGCCGTCCCCTCGCCCAGCGGCGTATAATACTGTTACTGGAGACTACGTTTCTAATAAGGGTCCTTCGAACGCCGGACGTCAAACCCCATCGACCCATACACCACAGGCTACGCCTCCGCGAGCGAACTCTGCATCCCCACTACCAAAGCCCCAATCTTCTCCTTCGCTCTCTTCGCCTAAATCCCCAGTCAACAATAATTTTTACTTGGCTAAGCCGATTCAGCCCGCTCCGAGGAAATCCTTGCAAGGCCCTCAGGTACCACTGAGACAGAATACTTCTCCTGCATTTCTCAAGCCGCCTCCCTCGAAAGATCCTACACCGAGTATCAGTCGATTACAAGGGCGAGGCTTTGTGGCCAACATGGTAAAAGCTACCAGCCAGCTCGGGGAGGTGTCAAAGAGCAGCGCTCCTTCTTCAAGCTCCTCGACTCCAGAGAAGCCTAGGGAGCGTAAAGCATCTGTTTTGGATAGGTGGCAGGTCAATGGCGATACTCCAGCTCCCATAATTGCGCCGAAACCCGTCCCATTGAGAAAGACTCGCACGATTGACCCTTCCGCATTCCCCGCATCCACATCGCCTGTACCTACGCCTTTCAATCCCTCAGCGCCAGCAGCACTGAGACGCGACACGCCTGAGAAGGCTCTGAAACCCAGGACTTCTTTACCGTCCATTGCACATGCTGCTCACCCCGACAAGGTTCCACGTCCCGCATCGGCGAAAAACGAGCTTTCTGGTCAGAGCCCGTCGACGTCGCAACAGCGAGCTCTCGGCTCATCCACGACGATGATTTCCTACATTAAGCCTCTGAAAACGGGCGATAGCCCGCCCACCAACGCTCCGCCATCGCGACCGTCCTCTAGAGCGTCTCGCAGTAGACCAACGTCTCCTGGGATCGATGAGTTCGGCAATCGCAGACGCTCGCATTCGCGGTCGAGGCCGAAGAGTGCGATTGGGATGGTGCAGGACAAGTCTTCTGGTCTTCCGGTCGAAGCTGCTGGTGGCAAGCCCCTCAGTCATGTGCGTTCATTTTGGTGATGTGTTTGTGTTGAATATATTTGTGATTTACATAGGGATTCATGTTATGCTTAATTCTACTGGAATGAGACGCAGGCTAATACGTTCTGAATACTAGCCGACAAAGGATCGAGCGCGTAAGCCTCGCAAAGCGAAGACGACTACGAACAGTTTGCTTTCCAAAGCAGCGGTCATTGGTGAAAAGCCGCTGGAACGGAAGGCTCCACCATCCCCACCAGGCACTAGAGCTTTGGCTCCCGCGACGAGCAGCGCAATATCGCCACCGCAGTCGAATATTTTCCGCTCTTCGTCACCTCGCGCGCCTGATGCCAGCCCCGCGATCCCACAACGGGGCACAACACCCAGCCCACCGACGAGCGGCGCCAGTCGGCGAGTTTACTTCCCCCTCGATGTCTCACCGGTCACCATCCCCCAGGAGCATGAGAAGTCACCCAAGTCGCCCGCTACCCCCGTACGACACAGTCGAATCCCGAGCACCGGCAACAGGGCGACCGTTATGGACGTTGCCCAGGCGCTGAGTCAGTACGAAGGGCATGCTAGGAAGGTCAGCCTCGACGAGATTACAGCACCCGCTCCAAACCTGAGGAACTGCCGAAAACTCGAGAGCAGGAAGAGGAAGCGGAGGTGACCTCGAGGCTCGGCGTGAAGTCCATGATCTCGAACTGGGGGAAGGAAAATACTGCGCCGAGCTCTATCTCCGCGCCCCCTCTGGATAGGAGAAGATCGAGCTACGAAAAGTACTCCGCCTTTGCGTTGCCTCCGTTACTTGAGGAGAAGACACCAGTTTCCTCGCCTACGAATACGCTCGGTCGCCACGCGGTACCACTTGGGATTCTTCGAGAGCAAGATGTACCTGCCAGCACGGAACCAGTCGAGCCCGTGAACGGCTCAGCCCCCGACTATTTCGCCTCGGAGATGCCAGAAGATCTCCCGCTTCCTCCCACTTCAGGATCAGAACGAGAGGAGGTCAACGCAGTCGAGGTTAAGGTGGAAGAAAACAAAGTTGAAGGCCCTGTCGACCAGTATGTCCACTTCGGTAAGCATCGACCAGCTGCCGGCCCTTGTCTCTTAATAAAATTCGTGCAGATTTCGCCGATGAACCTCTGCCAAAATTCGATGTCGCTCCTCTACTGAACCGCACACCTTCAATTTACAAGCCGGATCCCGACGTAGCGACAATCTCAGTGGAAGTGATGTCAATTCTAGGCAATAATGCTACCGAGATTACCGGCGACAGCCACATCTTCTACGAAACTGAAACTCTCTCAATCGTTCATCGCTTTAAGACTAGATCCAGTGGTCTTGTGGATACGAGGGTTTGGGCCTGGAGAGGCTCGAAGGCTCAGCCCGGCGAGCGCGAGGAGAAGAAATTGCAAGAACTTGCGCGTCGTTATAATACACCGTTGGTGAACGTGAAGCAGAACTCGGAACCTGCTGACTTTGTGGCTATTCTTGGCGGACAGCTAGCCACTCGACAGGTGAAAATGTTTCTCGCCATCCCGGGCTTCGTATGCTCACGCGTGCGCCTCGCTAGGGTACGCGAGCTCATTGGTCCAGAGAGAACACAGCCATGCACCTCGCCCGTTCGGCCAACGGTGTGATATACATCGATGAGCTAGAACCTGTAAGTGGCGCGCGCCTCTGCTGACCCTTCTACGGCTGACAGTAGCAACAGAGCATTCAGAACCTCTGCTCCGGCTTCAGCTACTGCATCTCACTCTTGGAGACGTTCTACGTCTGGTACGGCCTGGGCTCAACAGACGACGAACGCAGTGCCACCCTGCAGTATGCACGCAGCATCGCGGAAGACCCTACGAATGTCGCCGAGTTGATTGAAGGCGAAGAGGATGAGATGTTCTGGCTCATCCTGGGCGAGGGCGAGTATGCGAAGGCGGATTATTGGAGGTGGAAGCCCACCCTCGAATCCCTTGACGTGAGAGCATGGCTGGTAGATGCCGATAACAGGCATAATTCTGTGAGACTCTTGTTCTGTCGAATTCATTCATCACGCTGACCAGCCCATAATACTGTAGTATGTCACCCGTGCACTTATTGAGTCCGCGGCTGATATCCACGACCGAGTATATATTTTGGACTGCATCTGGGAGCTGTTTGTTCTTGTAGGCAGTGAGGCTCGTGGAAAGCGGAAGGACATCCGTCTCGCTCATAAAGTGGCAACGGTTAGCTTTTCAATTCCTCGACGGATCAATCTGTTAACCTCTCTTCCATAGGACCTGTCCGCCGTAATCTCGTCTTCCAGGCCATTCTGTCCTACCGTTCATGCCATTATTCTTCCAAGTCAGCTACCAGCTGATCTGCGCCTGGCTTTCCGTGAGCTGAATGAAGCTGACTTGGTACATCATCTTTGGCCTTTTCTTTGACCGTACCTGATGGTTGTTGCAGAATCACGGCTCAATACCTGACCACATGAACATCTTATCAAGCACAGAGGCATTTGAACATGTACGCTAGCAACTTCCATAAATTGTGCCACAGTGCTGATTCGGTTCGCAGTTACGGAAGACCTCCTGGGAAAGAAGTCTACTGGCGGACGAGACGATGCTTCCTCTCGGATTACATCCTGGACAGTGATATCTGTTCATGTTCATACCCACGCTGTCATTTTGAGTTGCTCATACTATGATACCAGTTCCCCGCTGGTACCTTTCGAGTGCTAGGCTAGCCACTTATACAAGACTGCCAAAGGTATTTATAATACCTTCGCAGTGTTCCCTCGGACACCAGCGGGCCGTACGCCGTCTGCTGACCGTTTCTCCGCAACCTGCGCCTAATGGACGCATTAGAATCATTCAGATATCTCTGCTTAAAACTCGGAACCGCCTGCTTTTCCCACTACGTCGACCTTCGTCTGATCCACTCTTGTCAACTTTGGTCTACCAGTCGACTTTATGGAAGCATGTGGTCCGTCACCTTATGGCACGATGTCGCTGGTAGGTTTTTGTGGAAGTTGGGCCTCTTCTTTGAGCACCTGTCTCGATTGTGTCTTGATATCTGTGACCTGTAAACGCCGCTCGTGACCTCACGCGCTTGTTGTACCGTCCACTTGTTCGCTCCGCGATGTCCGTTCGGATTCTGACCATATACACCTTCGGCAACTTACTGCATCTTCAGCGAAAAGGCCGGCTTCAGATGGGTTACCTGAAAGGGCTGTCTCTGCACTTTTGGCGTGCGAGCTCACGAAACAGGCTACGCGGCGCCACCCAAAGACTCGGACGCCTTGACGACCTTGTGGGCCCTTGTCATTGTGACCCATTTGCGACGACGACGATTGGCTGCTCACGCATTTTGGCAAACCACCATGGTCGAGAATAAAACGTCAGCTGCTCGCAGACAGCGTGGGTGCTCTCTCTCGTCTTCTTCTTCCCCTCCAGCGCGTCCGTATCGGCGAAGCTTCGTGGCTATCTCTCTGCGTGGGGGTCCCTTTAAGAAGTCGCTTGCTGCAGGACAGCAGAGCCTGAGTTTGCGCCAAGGATGTCGTTCGTTGCTTTCCTCCTCGCGGCCCTCGCATGTGGCGCGCCGCTTGTGCCAGCCGCGCCTCTCGACCTCGACGTGCCAGCCGCGCCCGCAAGCGAGCAGTGGCTACTGTCGAGCTGCTACCCTGCTCTGGACTTCCAGAAGCCGGTCATCATGCCCGAGAACAACACGCACTGGTGGTGCGACATGAGCACCGAGTACGCATTCGTGGGCTTCAGCTACGAAGTGACGGACTGTGGGTGATCCGCCGTTCCTTATTCTCTCGTCACGAGATGTCTCAACCACCTTCTAGGCCAAAGCCGTGAGCAGTTGAACAAGGAGTTCGCCGATATACGGCATCACTTCAACAGTCGCTATGTCCGGCTCTATGGCGCATGCGACAATGAGGGCTTCTAGTGAGTTTCTCCTGCCGGTACGCTCACCAAAGACAATAACTCTCTCGCTAGCGACGACATCGTGGATGCCGCCTGGAACAACAACCTCGGCGTGCACGCACTCATCTGGGTATGCGGATCCCAATACTCTTTTTTCCGTGTGGAAGTCCTCACGCCACCGCAGTTCGGCTTCAACGGGGACGACGTCTGGATGACGCGACGCGACACGCTCTTCGCGTCGCTGCACGCGAACCCGCTCGCCAAGTTCGTCACGCGCGGCGTGCAGTTCGGCTCGGAGCCGCTCTACGACAACGTGCTGCCGCACCAGGAGCTCGCGCAGCAGGTCATCCTCGCGAAGCAGAACCTCTCGAGCCTCAACATCCCCGTCACCGTCTCCGAGCTCGCGTACGGCTACCAGGAGCGCGGGGGCGCGCAGGACGTGCTCGACGCGATCGACTTCATCAACATCCACATGCTGCCGTTCTTTGACCAGACCGCGTCGATCGGTGAGTGCCCGTCCCAGTTCCCCCGCGGGGGCCAATACGCCGCTGCGGATTCCGTTCGGCCGTGTGTATGGTTCGATGCTTCTGACCACAAAGCATCGGGCCATAGATGGCCCACTGAGAAACCTGCGAGAACTGATCGTGATTGGCAGCCAACGATTCGTGGCCATTGGTCACCAACGATCTCGACTGGTTCATTGAGCACGGCGATGGCAAGAAGATGTACCTCGACGAGGTAAGATCAGGAGTCACTTAGGCGTTGTTTTAATGTCTGACCCCGCACTCCAGAACGGCTGGCCCAACGTCACGTCTCCGAGCGTGCAGCCGAACAGCCCAGACGCGGTAGCGAATACCCAGAACGAACACGTGCGTGCACTCTCGGCAACTTCCAGCTGCCTTTTAGCTTACTTTGTCATATCAGGACTACTTTGTCCTGCTGGACAAGCACTGCGAGGACTTCAAGACAGCTCCGGGCGGTGGAGTTGGTTGGTTCGCGCATATCTACTCCGATTACATGGAACCGGGCTATGGCATCTACGACGTCAACTTGAAGATGAAGATCTCGTTCGCACCCAGGACGCACTGCTGAGATCTTGGCCTGTCATCGACCGACGATCCTTACGAACTTACGAATTTCTGTATCAGATCTCTACACTTTTTTACCACGCTTGTAGCCTTACGCCAATGTACGAGTTGCTGGATCCTGACTGTCTGAGAGCATGAGTGACAACAACATTAACATCGCTGATTGATAACTTGAACGTTAACTAGTCATAAGGGGAGGTCAATCGTCTTCTCCAGTGGTATAAGAGTGGAGGTCCGATGGCCGATATAAATACGTGTCCGATTATAGGCCGTAGTCCGACGCGTATCTGTTCAGTTGCAGAGAGCAAGGGTCGATTAAGCAAAGACGGCGAAGGTTGACGAGAGCAGAACGAGAGCAAGGGCACCAGCACCGACGTTGGCCCGCGCCGCGCCATTGGGCTTATCATCGTCCGAAGTCGAGTTCGAGCTACTAGTCGTGCCGAACACCTTGACATCGGAGGGAGCCTGTCCGTCTGTGGGGAACCCGTTAGCGCCCCCGGTCATGAACACGCCGGTATGCAGCGAGCGAGACTCACTGGTGAAGTTGGTGCCACAGAGGTTCTGCACGTTGGCCTGGGCGCTCGAGTTGATGACCGCCGGGAAGTTCTGCGTGGCGATGTTGAACCACTGCTTTTGGCAGTCCGAGCACTCGACGCTCGCCGGCAGCGGTGGCACACTGGCGGCGACGACCGCGCCGACGAACTTTTCGCAATCGTGGCCGGCGTCGCCTCCTTTGCTGCTGTCGCAGGCGCACAGTCGTACGTCTGCTCTTACGGACACCCGGGCGAACAACCGCAGCTGACACGTATCTGTCTCGCAGGATCTCCTCGCAGTGCACGGGAGCTCTTACAGGCCTTCTCACCAGCTCCGCCGCACAGTGCCTCAACCCGACAGGTCTCGTCCCGCTCTTGAGCGCCTTACAGAGTAACACGTCGCTCGTCCCTACCATCGACACCTGGCTGCAGGGAATGTGTCAGCAGTCGCCGTGCACGAACGCCAGCCTCGCGTCCGTCGTCGCCAACATCACGTCCGGCTGCCAGGCCGAGCTGCAGTCGATCGGCGCCGGGAACATCACCAGTGCCGAGCTGACGTCGCTCGTCGAGCAGTTCTACCCGATGGTCCGCGACATGGCATGCCTCCAGGAGTGCGTCCCGCTCCTCCGCCGCCCGTGTGAACGCAGAAGAAGCTGATTTTGTTTTTTTTTTTTGCCGCCGCCGCCGCCGCAGCACGACTAACAACACCCTCTGTCCGACCGAGTTCCTGAACGGCGTGCAGAGCACGGTCGGAACCCTGAACGCAGCTGGCTTCAGAAAGTTTGAAAAACGACAGCATGACTATAGGAGAAAACAGGGACGACGGTGGTGGTTGAGCGTGAAGCGTGAAGTCGTGGTGTGTGCGGAAATCAAGCGAGCTCGCAGCCTGTGCGGATCGTGGAAGCGGTGTGAAGCGTATGAGACAAAACTGTGAGAAGCGTGTACGAGACGAGGGCAAGCGAGACCGTCGGGCGCTTATAGAATTTACTGCCTCGAGCTGCCTCGGCGTCCGCAAAGGCAATCAGGTCCCACACCGCGCCCATGGCGACCTGCGAATTCCTCTAGCCTGACGACCATCCTCAACAAGTGCCATACACAAACCTGTGCCATTGCTGATCGCTTTGTTCGACGAACAACAGCGAACAACGCCCGTAACAAATCCCTTTGTCCCCTCCAACGCCATTGGTCACGCTCAGCCGGCAACCACCGGATGTCCGCAAATGGCATCTGCTGTGGAACGAAGATCTGAGGTCTCGAGGCGTCGAGGACCCGCGGGCTGATCATCGATGAGAACGGCCGGCTATGTTGGCAAAAGCTACCGCTCCAAATCATAGGACGGCATAGCACTGCAGAGCACCCTCCAAGTTAGGCCAATCTGGATGATTGTAGGCGAAGCGGCGCGGCAAAATGACGTGGGGGAGCTCGTAAGCACGGGGACGCATTATTGGCAATGCCACCGCGGCACTCGCTCCCCTGTGTGCGTGAGCATAGACAGTGCGCAGTCAGTGCCCTTCACAGCTGTCACAGCTGAACATTCAACGGGCGGTGATCGCCTGTTCTTCTCGGAGGCCACGGTGGTCACGATGTCGGATGCCAGTGTTGCATATGCTAGCCGGGGGCGTAAGCCGCGCTCGTAACGCGGCGGCGCGTACCCACATGTCCTGCTGCTGGCTTCGTCCCCCTTAGGAGTCCTTCTTTCCGCAGTTGCGGCCGATGGACCCGCTGCTGAGGTTCAATACTCCACGACATGAGAGATACTCGGTCTTCAGAGTAGTCACCTCGAAACTCCTTTCTTTCTCCATAAGTGTCGCTGTCCTAGGATGTCTGAGTCATGCGGCAGTTCCATACGTCCTCACTGCTGAGTCAATCAGCCGGGCGACGGATAACGATGAGAAGAAGCCTAGCAGCTCTGTTAGTCCGGTCCTTGCCCCATCCTGTGCGACCTCTAGTGCGCGAGAGGTGCTACACCAGGTCGAGCATGGTCCTCGCACTTGCATACTAGGTCCAGCCAGCTTACCTTGCGCAATAAGGATAAGAACAGGAACCCTAGCTCGCGATGACACCCCGCGAGCGCCTCACGGTCAGTCGTTGGAATGCCGAGCCCATTCGCACTCGAACATTCGTGATCTCACAGGCGCGAGATCCGTTTCGGTAGGCACAGGGCATGTGCTGATTCCGCAAGCGGCACAGAGTTTGAACCTAGCGTGCCCGAGAGTCGCGAACCGAACAGTTTGAGGGCACACTTCGCATCTGCGGCCTATCAGCGCTTTCGCGGGGGGACAGGAGGAATTCCCGCTGACTTACGGAAAGATGGACTCGGTAGGCGAGGCGAGCATGATGCTCTGAGAGCATCACATGCTCCGGCAGGGATACTCGGACGCTGGTTGGAAGAAGGTCCCCCCTCACGGCGGACAAGATCGGAAGACGCAGTTAACTCCACTGAAGCCAAGCAAACGGAGGATGTCGGAGCTACTGAATAGGATTCACTGCGAAAATTCGCCCTGACGGACGCACAGGCGAGCTCGAGCAGCCTTTGACCAATGGAATCGTGCGTGCAGTTGCGAAAGGCAAGGATCACCGGGCGGCCTGGCTGTGTGGGATGTGCGGGTGGACGGCATCTGTAGCGTTTCACGGAGTGCTTGGGATTCTCCGGAGGCCACAAGACCACAAGACCGACTAGTGGCCACTGAAAGGCACCGATAGGACAGAGAGAGAAGTACGGCCACAGGCACGGCATGCTAGTGCCAGCACTGCGTCACGGCGGGCAGTGGCCCAGCGTCCGCCCTCCGAGGAGCGTCCGGTCCGGGGCCTGACTAGAGACGTATGAGTGCTTGGAAGAGAGCGAGGCTACTCACTGTGTGCCGGATAGCAAATATACGCTGGGGCAGATCGTCCGCAAGAGGCCTCCTGACGCAGGAGGCCATGGTCGAGAACAACTTGCTCAGCCCGATTGGGACGAGCACCGGAAGGCTGGAGGCTGATCCGTCGCAGCCGGAGTCGCACGAGCTGCTGCCCCCGGCCACCCCCTTCCGTCGTCTTTCGCTCGACCCACTCGTATCTCCCGCAATTTTCCCTCATGCCTTTTTCCCAGGGTGCTTATTTGTATTCGAACAAAAGCTCTCAGGACCCGCAAGCGACGTCGCGGGCCCAAGAATTTCTCACTGGAACCCAGGAGACGCAAAAGCCACTCGGATGTCGTGTGCAAACAGAAGATGGGGCGTACCCGACGTCTGCCACCAACTCTCAAATGTTGGCTTTGCTGGACGACCCTGCACTTCCCTTCTGCTCCGCTCCACATCTTCTGGACCGGCCGACGATGATCGGCTCTATACAACAAAGGTCTTCTCCGGAGTGGCATCGCATGGGGTACGGAATGGCGATCACAGACGGGTAAGCATCATGGCCAGGCGCATGTGATTCGGCTCCTTTGCTCACGAAAAAACTGTGCTCTGAAGGAAGCAAGTCTCGCTCGGCGGACTTGATCTCGAGCGCATGTATCCCTGTCCCGCTGGGACGTGGACCGGCGTCGGGCCACTGGCTTCAACCATCTGGCGGGTGTATGGCGATGGGCATCCTGTGGCGAGCCACCTAGTTCCCTATCTCGATCCCCTGTCGTCTCACCTTCTCATGGGTCCCGGTAAACACGAGCAGCTGACTCTGTACGCGTCTTCCCGGCCTGCACTCTGACGCTCTGATAGGAAAACAGCAGGGGTGCAAGGACACCCGTTTCGATGCCGTTGTCATCCCCCTCCACTCCGTAGGCGTCGCTGCCTGCGCGCATTGCCTGTCTACCTCCAAACGGTGAGTCGCTTGCCCCTTCGGCTCCTCGGAGTAACAGGGTTGCCTCGAGAGAGAGAGAGCTGGAAATGAATCGCAGCCGCACGCCACCCAGCACGAGCTGACCAAGGTCCCATGAGTGATACGCCTGCTTGTCATTTCGATGCTCGCTAGCGGGGGGCGGGGGCCCGATTTAAGCTTCTCAAGTTCCACAAAGAGCTCACAAGCCGCCCATACAGTGCTCGCCAATCTCGCAGACATATTCGAGACTCAAAATCCGCGTCTCTTCATTGATTCCCTACAATGACGCGTGACGTTGGCCTCCCTTCTCCCGGGCTTTCAAAGTCCGGGGACGAAAGGCGCTCGCAAATTTCGGCAATCGAGATAAATTACAGTATACAGGAAGGTTCATGTGCGGTATAGTATACATCGCGGTGTGAGTGTGTGTGTGTGGTGTTCGCCAAAAGAAAAAGAAAAAAAAAATCTACAATTTCCAATGCTGGACGTCGACCAAGGCGCGTTCGAACGGGAACTCGCCTCCCCACCGCACCGCGTCGTCCTGGCTCGCGGCCAGGGTCTCCTCGAGCTCGCGCAGGGTGGCACGCGCCGCGTCGAGGTCGGCCACGCGCCCCGCGCCGTACTCCTCGCGCGCGCTCTGGAGCGCCTGCGCGATGTCCGCGTCGACGGCGGCGAGCGTGTCTGCCATCGGGCCGTCGGGGGCCCAGCGGAGCCCGAGGGTGCCGCGGGCGATCGCGGTGAGGGCGGCGAGGCTCGCGAAGCCCATGCCGGCGCCGTACAGGGCGCGTGCGCGCCGGAGCGTGCCGTCGAGCGAGGGCGAGGGCGTCGCGCCGCCGTCGGGGTACGTCGCGAACAGCGTCGAGGGCGCGGTCGTCGTTGGTGTTGGGTGTCTTGAGCTCGTCTGCGCGAGCCGCTCGAGCCGCTTGCGTGCGGCGGCGGTGAAGGCGGAGGCCGTGCTCGGTGGACAGCTGCTGAGCATCGTGCGCAGGATGGCGCGCAGGCTGGGTGGAAAAGGCCGGGCGGCGTCAGAACAGGGGGCACGAGAGGACGGCGGGACGTACTCGTCAGGTTCGGCATTCGCGATAAAGCTGTCTACCATGAGGTTGCTGCATGCAGGGCATGTGAGACAGAGCATCAAGGAGGAGAAGTGGGTGTTTGGAGGACGCACACATGAGCGAAGTTGGCCTTCAGGCTGGGCTCGAAGCCGGAGGAGTGGATGGTCTGAGGGGCGGGCATTTTGGGCGAGGAAGGTTGGAAGAGTGGGGGAGGGCGGGATACGTAACGGGTTTTATAGGTGATGAGAAGTCGGGCGAGAGGCGTAGCGCAGCCGTGGGGTGGGACACCGGTTTTAGTTCCAGGTACGAGCCTACGGACGGAAAAGGGGGCAGTCGCGCTTTAACGTTGGTCTTCTGGACGGCCAATTGATGCATCGCCGGCGTCTGACTCGGCAAGCGAGGAGAGGGAGCATTTTGGCTTAATGACATGTCGCCCGGCACCGCCACCTGGACAGATGGACATGGGCAAAAACACAAGAGCCTAAAGGCTGCTTCCAAGCCTCCGAGACACCCGATGCTGCCGTCGTCAGCGCGGGGGGGCTCTCGGTGCCGTGTGCGCTCGGGCCAGGCGGCGGGCGCCGTGCAGAACAGAGGCTGATCTGCGGCGACCAAAGTAGATCCCTTCGCGCAGGCCATGGGCGGCGGCGCCGAGGCCGTCCGCGCGGGGCCGGCGACCGCGACCGCGACCGCGACCGCGCACGGTGTGCATCAAACTCTTTTCACCTGCATAAGTACTGTAGGGTCTTTGAGCAAGGTTTCAGGCCGGCGTCCAGCCTGGTCGCCGGCCCCTTCTCTCGGGATTTCACGATCCCCATGCGCCCTCCTGACACCCTGCCTGATCCTCGCCTCGCCTCGCCTCGCCGCACCCTCGCAGCCCGTCTGCCTCCAAGGGCCTTGCTGTCTGTAGGTGCATGATCCGACCGCTGCAGCTCGCGATCTGACGGGACAGAGATGGTCAATCATATAAGGGCGACGTCCTCGGCTCTACACATCACGTCTCCCTCTCTCATCCGCACACCATGACTACCACACAGGCCCCCCTCGAGACCTTCCGGCTCGGCAGGTTCACAGTCCCCAGGCTCTTCAACGGCCTCTGGCAGCTGTCCAGCAACGCTTGGGGCAGCGCACCCACCACCAGGATTCGTCGGCACATGGCCCAGTACGCCGAACAGGGCTACGTCGCCTTCGGTGGGTCCTTCTTGCCATCTTTCCCTCGCTCCTCTCACACATGCTCCATCCTTGCAGACATGGTGAGTCGGCCGAGTCACCCGCCTGAACTCTCAGCCACTAACCAGCACCGCGCGCTCTGCTTCTCCTAGGGTGGGTTCGCAGCTTCCGGCTGTCCGCCGTCCCCCCAGTGCTGACGGCCGCTCTTCCCTGACAGCCGATCACTACGGAAGTGCCGAGCTGCTCTTCGTACGTCCGCACGGGCCCTCGCCGACCCTCCGCGTTCTGACCAGCTCGGCGCACACAGGGCCAGTACCGGAATACGCTGCCGTCCCCCAACGACGTCCTCTGCGCAACAAAATGGTGTGTCTTCCGCCGCGTCGACCCCACCCGCGCCGTCGTCGAGGCGGCCGTGCAGGAACGGCTCGACCGCACCCAGAGCTCCCGCGTCGATCTTTTGCAGGTGGGGCTTCGCCAAATCTTTTGCTTTCCCCCCCCCTCCCCTCCGCTTCTCGCGCTCACACAACGTCCGCGCAGTTTCATTGGCAGGACTACGCCGACAAGGGCTATCTGACCGCGCTGCTGCACCTGCAGAGCCTCCAGGCGGAGGGAAAGATAGGCGAGATCGGCCTGTGCAACTTTGACGCGATCCACACCGACGAAATCTGCGCGTCTCTGGGCCCGGGCTCCATCGTCTCGAACCAGATACAGGTGCGGCATTCCGCAGCGCGCGACGAAAGCACACCAACTGACAGCGGCCAGTTCTCCCTCATTGACACCCGGCCGCTGCACGGCATGGCCGACGTCTGCGAGAAGCACAACGTGAAGCTTCTGACGTACGGCACCCTGGTGCGTCTCGGGCTGCGCTTTTGTTCGAGGCTGGGGTTAAAAACGCCCTCTCACTCCGTTGTCTCTCTTTTTTGCGCAGTGCGGCGGATTCCTCTCCGACACCTGGCTCGGAGCTGCAGAGCCCGATCTGTACTCGGGCAACCTGACACCGTCGCAGCGCAAGGTGTGTGCCTGTGTGTGTGTGCGCACGCGCGCGCCCGTCTGTCTCCTGCGATCCGCGCGGCGAACGCTGACTGTCTGGCCAGTACCTCGACATGATCGTGAAGGCGTGGGGCGACTGGCCGCTCTTCCAGGAGCTGCTCGCCGTGCTGCGCGCCATCGGCGACCGCCACGCCGGCGCGAGCATCGCCAACGTCGCGACGCGCTGGGTGCTCGACCACGCCTGCGTCGGCGCCGTCATCATCGGTGCGTCCCGCTGCTTCCCTCCTCCTCCTCCTCCTCCTCCGCCGTCGTTTTGTTCACGCGCAACGCAACCGCTCACGCACACAGGCGCACGGCTCGGGATCACGGACCACGCGGAGGACAACCAGAAGGTGATGGGCCTCGCACTCGGCGGCGCAGACAGGGCCGCCATCGAGGCGGTGCTCGACCGCTCCAACGGCCGCCGCCTCATCACGACCATCGGCGACTGTGGAGCTGAGTACCGCTAGGGTGCGCCCGCTCGCCCGCCCGCTGTCGCTCCGGGGGGGGGGGGGCGGCACGGAAAGCGGAAAGCAAAAAGCGGCCTGGCTCTCTGTTCGTGTATATTGGCTTTCTACGGTGCGGTCCGAGCGCGGCATAGCTTTATCTACAGAAAAGGGCCCGCCGCTGACCCGCGCATGCGCTAGTACTTTTGCAGGCAAAAACTGGCTCCCGGGCGGGTTCGTGCGCGGTCGCGCACGAGCCCATATGTATACTAGAGCCGCAGAGGGTATGATGACGCTTGTGTTTGAGTGCGAATTTGATTTTTTTGTTTTCTGTGGCGCGCAAGCTGGCGGCTGTTTTTTTTTTTAGGCTACATGTCAGTCTGCGCCGGTAGCGACTGGTGACAAATGGGCCCGCTCAGATGGCGGGGGCGGGGCTTGTGGCAACGAACCCCAAGGGGAGAGGGACGGCCATCGGGCGCCATCACCATCAAGGGTACGATGGGCTGCCGCGCTCGCGCTTGGCCAAGCAAGGGGCACCCGTTAACCGCGGCAGGCGCGAAGTGTGGCGCAATCGATTGTAGCAGAAATCTGCGCCGGTGCTGTGGTCAGCCCTGAGCAAGTCTCAGGTACTGCGTTCGATCACGAGGCACACACGTAGCGTCCGCGCACTCCGCACATTTATCACGAGGCTGTAAGGCACAGGGTCGCTGCGTCTGGGGTCGGGGAAGCCGATGGACACGTCGGCGGACGTACGAGAGGACCCTTTCCTTGCGGCCGGCGCGACACCGGTGTCCACGGGGCACCCTATTCTTGCTTGCGATATGCCCAAGATGTTCAAAGTGCGTAGTCCTGTGTGCTGTGGCGATGGCGATGGCGATGGCGACGTCGTCATCGACCGCCCTAGGGCCCGCTGACACACATGGCGTTGGCAGCCGGCTAAACGGACTGATGATGCTAGGCTCGGCCGAGGACCAACGACGAAAGTGTGCTAGCCTTCTGGGGCCCTCACCTCTGCTGAGCATATCACAGGGTTGCTTGGCGCCTCTTTGCGCGTACGTATGTGGCTACAGAGCAACTGAGCACCCGTGCAGCGCACCAATCATGCGCGCGGCAGATGGATGGATTTACGCGCAAACGGGAATGGCAGCCCTCCTAGTTGCGGGGTGGCGGTGCATGCAGCTACAGCACAGCGGACCGCAGCTGCAGATTTCTGCCGAGGCAACCCTACAAGTCGCCGGAGGCGCTAGCACATGATGCATGATGAGCTGGAATTCGATCAGTAGTTTTTTTGGTCTCTCCGCTGGACGGCGGCGGGGCGGGCATGGCCTTGTACAACATTTCTGCACGACATTCTGTGGGTATTGCATCGGTCACCCGCGACGTGCATTACGTCTTGTTTACGGTGGCAAGCAGGCCCATGCGTGGGCCGTCCGCAAGGGCATGTGCATATTTGAGCACTGTGCTAGAATGGCCCGAGAGAAGCTCGGAGCTGGCTTAATTAATGAACGGCGTATCTGGAGGTTGCCATAATGAAATGAGCGAGATACACGGAGCTTTGGCTGGCCTTCTCCGTCCCAAGTGTTAATTACCGCCTGCTCCCATTTCCGTTCTTACACACATGCCGCATCAGGATGATGCTCAGAAGCACCCGTCCGAGATGCCGCCGGTTGCCCAGGCGCTGACGAGCCCGAGGGGCGGGGGACCCCGCTCTTCAACATTGCAACATATTTCTCGGCAATTTCTCTCTAGGAGCATGCTGTCTCTGCAGTGCTCGTTGGCTCTGGTGTCCTCCTTGCTGCTCTCCTCAGTGGCTGCTGCCCCGACGATCGAGGACTGGCAGCCGCGACCGCGACCCTTGGTGATATGGCACGGCATGGGCGACAGCTACAACTCTCCTGGGATGCTCGAGGCCGTACACGAGATCGAGACCGCACACCCCGGGATATTCGTACACTCCGTGCACCTCGCAGAAGCTGAGGACGACGACAAGAAAGCAGATTACGTGCGTAATCCCGGTCTGCTGCGCTCGGAGCACCGCTAGACGACCACACGCAGTTCGGGAACGTCAACGAGCAGGTAGCCTTTGTGGCAGAGCAGCTCAACAATGTCACAGAGCTGCAGCATGGCTTCGACGCCATCGGTTTCTCCCAAGGTGCGCTGCTTGCTGGGTGCCTCGATGCTCTGTTGTGCTTACGTCCCCGAACTCTTTTTGCCACAGCGGGGCAATTCTTACGTGCATATGTCGAACGTTACAACTCGCCTCCGGTGAACAACTTCATCACCTTCGGCTCCCAGCACATGGGGGTCTCCGACCTTCCAGAGTGCAAACCTTACGACATCACCTGCCAGCTTGCCCGCAGAGCAGCCCGAGGCAGTGTGTACAGCGCGTGGGCGCAGGCAAACATCGTCCAAGTACGTAACCCGCTCTCAAAAACATGCAACCTGCCTCCCGGTGAGTCGCAGCATGCTGACGCGTCCGCGTCTAGGCCCAATACTTCCGCGACACAGACCGACTCCCGCTGTACCTCGAGCGGAACCACTTCCTGTCCGACATCAACAACGAGGTCGACGGGTCAGTGAACACGACCTACCGCGCGAACTTCGAGGCTCTCAACAAGCTCGTCCTCGTCCTCTTCGCGCAGGACACCATGGTCGTGCCGAAGGAGAGCAGCTGGTTCGGGTCCTACGCGCCCGCCGACGAGGACGCGGGGGCGGCGAGGACGGTCATCCCGATGCGCCTGCAGCCGCTGTACACCGAGAACCGGATCGGGCTCAGGACGCTCGACGAGCGTGGGGACGTCGAGCTCGTCACCTGCGACAGCGCGCACATGCATCTGAAGACCGAGTGCTGGCAGCCGCTCATAGAGAAGTATGTCGGGGGTGTCGTTGGGACCCCGCATTCACCAGACTCCGTGCTCAGAGTTCAATGACGCCCCCACACTCACACCCCTCTTAGTTGCGTGGAAGGTACCTGCATGTAATTATAGCCTCCTGTGCTTATTATTTGATCTTGAGGAGAACGTTCGATTTGTCTTGTTTCATTTCGGAAGCGAGAGGAGAGTGCGACATCCAAAGATCAAAGCATAGAGCGACACAAAGATTAGCCCTCAGAAAGGGGGTCGTTAGAGCGAACGCACACCAAAACAAGCGACAGCGGAGGAGATGGAGGTCGAGGTATCCAATACGTTGGATGGTAGTAGCAGGGAGTATTCTCATCATGAGAAAAGAAAAAGAAAAAAACCGAAGCCCCACGTTCGAGTTCACGTCGGAGGCCAGGCAGCCGTCCGCCCAGGGTGCTGCCCCCAGGTGTCCCAGACATGGTTCCGCCATTCGGCAACAAGGAGCATGGCGCGCGTCCACGCTTCGTGCAGGGCGCCTTTCCACCCGTCGCGCGTGAGCGCGTCTGCGATGGAGAACGGCGTGGCAGACGGCGAGGAGGCGGGCGGTCTCGCGTGCCGTACCAAATGCGTCTTCGAGATGTGCGAGAAGAGGTCGGGCGTGAAGGCGTCGTAGTAGGTCGTGAGGAATATCTGCTTCGCGCGGATCGTGGAGAGGCTGCGGACGCATCAGCGATGGATCTGCGCAAGGGCAAAAAAAAAACGGAGCAGACGGACCGGTACATGTAGATCAAGAGCAGAATCTGGAGGACGACGAACGTCCACAGGACCCATGTGTTCAGGCAATCGACGGCAAACCGTCCGCCGCGTTGGATAAGCTTGCCCTTGCTCACAGCCTCGCGAGGCAGCCAGTCTTTGGCTTGGATGTTGGGATTAGACAGTCGTTTCCTGAGGGTTTCTGCAAGGTCCCTTCGAGCATTCTGCGCAGCTTGCGACTTCCGATAGAGCTCGTCTAGCCGCTTGTCGTCCAGCCGTGAGGCGATATGGGAGCTAAGAAGTGATAATCAGCAAACGCTCTGCACGTTGTAGAAAGGTCAGACTCACTCGTCGCTCTCGCCGAGGTCCTCCGCCATCTCCTTGATGGCATCGCGCAGGCGAGTGAGGCTCTCTCTGCGGGACATCGGGCGAGCGCTCTCGTAATCAACGTCCTCCTCCTTCACCCTCTCCTCCGCCGGCTGCATGATCGGCGACGGCTCCTCTTCCTCCTCCTTCACCTCACGGCCCATGGGGTCCACGATCGTGATGGGCCTCATGGTACGCAGTGCAGGGACAGGTGGCTGCACCAGCGGGGCGTCCGGCACGCCGTCGTCGCTCTGCGTCGACGAAGACGCAGACAGCTCGGGAGCCGGCCTCTCGACAACCTCGTTTCCGTACGCATCTACAAGCGTCATGCCCGGCGGCCTGAACGCCTTCCGCGGGCGCGCCGCCGGGGGAGTGCTCGGCCGCTGCACCTCTTCCTTCGGCTCTTCGCGTTGCGCGGCCGGCGGCGGCGGCGGCATCAGCGGTGGGAACATCTCTGACATGCTGTCTGCGGCAGGGTCACCCGTGCCAGGGCCGATCATGGGGACCTCTGGCATGCTCTCGCCGGACGTGTTCGGGTCGACGTCGAAGCGGACCTTGAGGATGCTTCTGCGTCGCATCGAGCCCACGGGTGTGGGCTGCCATGCACCAGGGGGCGCCGGAGTCGGGATAACCACCGATGGCTCAGCTGGCCCCGACACAGGGGTTGGAGTTGCAGCCTCAGGCGGTAACGAAGGGGCGGCTGGTGGTGGGTGCGTGTCCGCTTTCTCAGCCTTCTCGACGGGAACAGGCGTAGGAGCCCACGCGCCCGGAGGTTTAGGCGTCTTGGCAGCGGTGAAGTCAGCCAGCAGGCTTCTGCGTTCCATGATCGGCGTGGCCGGATGGTCGTGTTCGCCCTCAGATGACGACGAGCCATTTAACGGCAAAGCAGGCAGTTCGGGCATGTTGCGTGGGGGTGACGGCGTCTCGAACACGAGCTTCGAGATGTTCTGTGAGTGCCGAGGCGGAGTGGACAGACCGAATAGTGGCTCTGGAGAGCGTTCACGAACTGGAGATAGCTGCGGGGAAGACGGGGAGGCGGCAGTAATGAAACTGTCTGGGAACACGCTGGAGTTATTCTGCTCAGGAGATTCTACAGATAACGGGTGAGCAGATTTCCTTGTCTCATAAGGCCCGACCTCGGAAGGAGGAGGCAACGTGGCTGGTCGTCCGGTAGGCGTACTAGTGGCTTGAGATTCGCGGTCGCTTCCTGGATGCGCAGTCGGAAGAGTGCATACTGGAAGATGGGAGAATACTTACCACTCTCGATATCGGTAAGGACTAGGTTCTCTGTTGGGGCGCTGATTAGGTCTACTGGTTCAATTCTCGACCGTCGCATAGGATAAGGCTGTGGTGGTTCAGGAGGCAGCTCGTTGCCCATATCCCTTTGCTTGCCCTTGTCTTTTTTCTGCCCTGTACTCTCCTCCTTCTCCTTCCTCTCCGGTCTCGGCGAAGTTACGTCATTCTTCCTCTCCTTCCTGTCCGATCTCGGTGATGTACCGTCCTCCTTCCTGCCCGGCGAGCGAACCGGAATAAGACTCGTGCGTGTGCTCAGTCGATTCGACGGACTGGGCCTGTCGGGGGTGGAGGAACGCCTCTGCGGCGTCTCGACATCAGGCTGGAACGGCGGGAGGTTCGCCCGCCTCTTCGGCATCGCCCACCCGAACCGCGCGCTGGCCTCCCTCAGCTCGTTGTCTTCTGCGGCCTCGCTGAACGCGGGCGACAGCGAACGTCGAGGGTGTTGCGGGTCGGTTACGGCGCGCGGCAGCGACGGCTGTGGCTTGGGCGGTTCTTCGCTGAGGCTGCTTGTCCTGCTGCGCCCGTACGAGGTCCCGCGGCCGTTGATCAGACTCGGGCGGCGGGCCCGGGACGGGCTCTCGATGCGGTTTGGATCCCAGTCAGCTGGCGGACGACCGTATCCAGTGCCGGAGGCATCCGGGGGCGGCGGAAGCGGAGACATAGACCTTGGGACTTGATACACCCACTGCGGATGCGGAGAGTTCCAGTTCCTTTCCCGCTCTTGAACAACCGGCTTCGAGGAGTCGTCACGACCTTCATTCTCGACACCTGGCGTTGGCGAGCCTGCGCGGATCGTCTGTTTGAGTGATCCAGGCGAGTGCCAGCTCATGGGGCGGCCGTTGATCATATTGTAGCCTTGTTCCGACCCAGGTCGTGGAGGCGTGCTATATTTTCGAGAACGATCATTAGGCGAGTTCATACTCTGGCTGGAGGACGCTCGTCGAGGGCTCGGCTTATTCCAACCGCGTTCTCTTTCCCTGTACTTCTCATCCTCGAACTCTGTTATTCGTTCTCGATCTAGCCGATAGTGTAAGCACATTGTATGCATGCACGTAAAGAAGCAACCCACAGTCTGCGTTAGAGCTCAATGACGACCTGCTGCCGTAACTGCGAAGAGAGGTCATGCTGGCTCGCCTAGATACATTCTGCCTAGGACTACCGCCATCGCCAGGCCTAATGGTAGTGTTGAATGATGGCGAACCTGCTGAAACGCGCCGCGCCGATTCTGGAGTGCGTCGTGGCGAATTGTCGTTTGGTTTATTCCATTGGCGTTCGCGCTCATACAGCTTATCCTGCTCGTCGGCCCTGTAACGATCTTGAACTTCGCATAGCCCCTGAATGAGCCATATGCCAGGATTAAACATGGTAAGCATACTCACAGTCAGAGGCTGATAGCGACGAGCTCCATGATGCTACGCCCGCCAATGATGCTTAGTTAACGGTCCCGTTATCACAAGATGGAGCGACCTACAACCGCACTCTCTCGTCCACCGTTCAGTCCACCGCTCACCCGTCTGGGAACTGGAATATTGTGCGTTGTGTGGGATTTCATATGTGCACGAGCAGCAGCGTCTGGGGACGGTTCTCGGCCGTTTGATCGTGAACCAGGAAAGGGAACTGAGAACAAATTTGTGAACGAGTGAGACAAGATACACACTGAGTAATCTTACGTCTGCTACGCTGGACAGCGTAAGACTCGCCCTCGCTGTCAAGCCCCCTCATTGCGTTTCGCATATCTGAATCTTCCCCGAGAAGATCTGAAGCAGGTTCGTCGCTCAATGTCCGCATCTTATTGAATTTGAGAGCCTCTTACTGGACTGAGATTCAAGGTGCGAGGGCATCTGTACTGATCGCATCGGGGTGCTGGCTGCGAGCGGTGCGCCGTTCATAGAGGGCTCTCCCTCCATATTGCGGAACATCTTCGCCGTCTCACCACTGGTGTCACCCGATACATCCATGACCGTTGGAGGCTCTAGCTGCATCAGCTCCTCTGCCCCGCTCATTCCATTGCCCATGGCGAACGCTGTACTCCTGCTTGGCTCTCGTGAAGCTGTGGGGGGCAGACTGGCCTCAAGCCTGTCTTGAAGCGCGCTGAGCTTGGCGGCTGAAGAGGATGCGTAGCGAGAGGTTTGAGAGCCTTCAGAGCTTTCTGCAGAGCGTAAATGAAGCGAGATGGTCTGTAATAGCAATAAATGCACGCACTGGGTGGGACCTCTGCTTCCTCATCGCTTGCGATCCTCCTCTTGCCCTTGAGCTGCTCGCGCTCCTGTTGCACACGTTCAACTCGAGGGCTATCCTCCGCCTCACTGCCGTCGATGCTGTTCCGTCGAGGGCCGGGTTTCCCAGACTTGGGAGGTGTCCATTCGGAGTGTGCTTTGGTGAAGAGATCCTTGAACTTCTGCACGTGGATCGACTCGGAGACAGTGGCATGCGGAGACTCGAAGTCAGACTCTACGTCAGAGATACTCGCAGCCGAGCGTGGAGGCGAGGGTCGCCGTGCAGACGACCGATCATGGGCCAGAGCGAGAACTGCGCGCAGTCGTGCGGCACCGGTTTCGTAGGTAGCCTGTGAAGGTGTCGGATCGGCGGCGGTGGCCAGCTGGGGCCTGGTGGCCACTCGCGGTGTCGCTTGCTCGTCATCGTCGTCGTCGGAAGGAGCGTCCAACGCGTCCATGTGCGAAGAAATCCGTGAAGGACCAGCTTGGGGCGCCAGATAGTGGAGGTCGGTCCCGGACCGCTGTGAGAACTGAGAGAATCGCGAGGGGCGAAGACGAGATAGCGCGGGAGTGCTATCCATGGAACATGCAAGAAAGGTACGCTGGTCGTTGGCGACGTCGCCGACGACAGCGTCGAGAAGAAAAGACAAGCAGAGGCTGATCGAGACGGGCGCGGTGGTCGATCGTGCGTTTGTTCAAGTCTCTCTACACCGCCGGCGCGCCGTGAGGTATAAATGAGTTGATGCCGTTACCGAACAGTTCACTGCGCGGTACGTGACGCGCGTCTCCTCGTTACCTAACTGTCAGAAAGATAAGTAAATAACATCAGTGCACCGTTAGGCAAGCTCTAACGGTTAGCTAACGAGATTGGGTAACGGGCTGGTCTTTCCATATTCCCGAGGTGTTCTGCAGCGGGGTTTGAATATGTCGGCAGTACCCGTTTGAATAAATTACACATTTTCCATTGAATTTTCGCTCTATTTGCATGAAAATTTGACAATAAAAAGCAATATATTCCTGACAAAACTAGGGAAGATACAAAGCTCTAGGAATTATTACTACACTACAGTACATGCTAATCTTCCAGACAGACACTGTGCTTAGTACTCTTCACATCTGTCATGACTTGCTGAGACTTGCATGGATACCCTGCACAAAGCTAAAAGTGTGAGCCCTTAAAACACAACAGCAGACTTATGAGCTTACATGAGTGACACCTATCACCCGACATGTCAGCTACATATGATTACACATCTAGATAATCGTCAGCTGTGACTACCACAGAATATATGGTGACATACCTGTCAGAGTAGTGTAGGTGCTGCTGAACCAAAGGACATATCAATCAGGAAGCTACTCCTTGAGCTGTAGCACAACCTGATTTGTACTGTAGCTTAAGGAAGATACAGTGAAGGTATACGCGAAGTGAATGGAGGATGGGAGAGGAAGAGACGTGGCAGACAAGAAGCGCTTGAACCACACCGAGGGAATGCCGATGCATGCCGAGCATCAGCGGAGTTCAAAGCTGTCCCCGGCTCAAAGGCTTGAAGCATTCGCAAAGTCAGT